TAAAACTGAATATTTGGAACTATTTCAACATTGCATAACTGAATCATGGGTAGTTTGTGTGCCTCGCGTAGGAAGCCTAAATACGCGTGTGTTTACTATTGAGGACTACTGTGCCCATGTCTTGGTGCCTAGTGATGAATTACCAGAAACACACTACACCACCCTTACTGAAAAACAGGTAACTATTGCTAATAAAGTAATCACACTTGACATTACCAAAGGACTACCTCTTCAAAGTCATATCTTGTTTGAAGAAACATTCTATACCGAAGATTTCATAAAATATAAAGTGTGGTGTATAGAAGCCCCATTGGAACCCACTTCTAATGTTGGAGATAATGATGTCACAAAAGAAAATCTGTGCTCTATTAATGACTGCATTGATTTACTATGGACTCAGGCCGCTGGCCGTCAGGTATTGGACCAAATAGATTTAACTGTCCAAATATTTATTAAGAAACACCCTACACTTCCTGTTGCTATAGGTAATTTAAAGGATGCTGTTAGTGAGCTTTATACACTATGTCTTCAAGTTGCATTGCAGAATAAACGTTTAAGGGATAAATCTAAAACATCTAAACATATACTGGAGAACATAAAGTTAGCTGTTGAGTGTTACATGCAACAACTATTATTTGATTACATTTTCAAGCCTATATGTACCAGTTGCTCATATGAAGATTCACATCTCAATAAAAAAATTAGGAATATGTGTGACATACAGCTGAGAGATCTTGATATCAAAAAAGAACTATATCATGCTGTACCTAAAGCAAAGCAAATTCTCTCTAAAATTGACTCATATAATACAGTGTTGGAGAAAGTTCTATGTTTGAAACAAGCATTGAATGCCATTAATAAAAGTGATTGTAGCACAGATGCCACCTTATTAACTGCTGATGATTTACTACCAGTTTTTGTATTTCTTTTAATTAAATCTGGTTTACCCAACTGGTACAGTCAACTGACTTACATGAAGGACTTTAGATTTAGTGGTATTGGCAAAGGGGATGGTGACGAAAGTATATTTCTTATAACTACTCTAGAAGCTGTCATAGAACATATACAATCAGGAGCATTAGCAGGTCCTCCTGATCCCGAATCATATTATTATGAAAGCAATCCCTCAGAAGACAGTATGAGCTCTTGTTATCAAAGACGAAGCAGCATGACAGAATCTACCTCAACCTGTGAAACAACTAGCCGTGAAGAAACTTTGGAGTATGTGTTTGATTTAATCAAAGCTAATCATACTGAACAGGTGCAGTCATTGTTAGAAAGAAATAGAATACATTTAAATAATATGCATGATAATGAAAAAAGTGCCTTCAAGTTACCTCTAAGTGAAAATGATGTGGATGATGATGATGATGACAGTGATGTTGAAATATTCCAAAAATTATGTCATCCACTTTGTAATTGTAAAAAATGTTGCCAAAAGTTATCTAAAAATCTTTTAAAAACATCTCCCACTATATATTCCAGAGACAGCCATGGTCTTACTCCATTACATGTAGCCTCTATTCATGGTAAAGCAGCAATTGTTGATATTTTAATTGATATGGGAGCTGAGCTAAATGCTACAGACCTAAATGAATGTTCACCATTGCATTATTCTGCTTCAAGAGGTCATCAAAATGCACTATTGCTCCTTTTGCATTCTGGTGCTGATATCAACAAGGCTAATATTGATAAGAATAGCCCATTGCATGTAGCAGTTAACAATGGTCATTTAAATTGTGTCAAAGCTCTTATCTACTTTGCAGAACATGGAAGAAAGCAGATAAATATAAATTGTTGTAATGTTAATGGAAACACTCCATTACATTTGGCTGCAAAATGGGGTTATGAAGGCATTGCTAAGTTACTAATAGAAAATGGTGCAGAACCATCATTGCAAAATCGCAATGGGAAATCTGCATTTGACTTGGCTCATAATTTAAAAATTTTGCAGCTTCTAAAATCCAGTACTCCTAATTTATATGAATATATCCATATTACTAGTTTGGATATTAAGAAGCTGAATTTAAAAAATATTAATCCTTTTACAAAGTTACAAAGTTTAAAAATTAAAAGTAATGACCGCAACAATGCATCTAAAACAGTTGAAAATCTTAAACGCATTGAAAGAATTCTTCAGGCCATTTCATATGGTGATATTAAGTTGGCATGTTTTTACATGAATATTAATTATGAAAACTATATAAACATTACAAGTGAATTTAAAGAATCTCTTTGTCACCCTTTATGTGAATGCCCTAATTGTAAGGGAATAATCCAGTCAACTTTATCTGATTTTGATGTAAACTTTTGCGATTCAAATGGTTACACACCTTTACATTTTGCAGCTCGGTATGGCCTTGATGAATTATGTAAAATTCTTATCTTAAATAGGGCAAATATCAACATCAAAAACAAGAAAGGGCAGACACCCTTACATTTAGCTGCTCTACATAATAAAACTGTAGCTCTCCATTATCTGTTGGACAATGGGGCAAATATAAATGCTTTTGATCTCTCTGGTAATACTCCACTGCATGATGCCTGTGCAATAGGAAATATAGGAGCTACAAAGACATTACTAAGCTTCCAACCCGACTTAACAATGACCAATGCCTCCGAGAAGACACCGTTAGATGTTGCGAAACAAAAAGTCCACTTAACCATTATAGATTTAATAGAAAAGTATTTAAATAAAACATCAATTTATAAATAATTGAAAGCATTTGTTATTGTTATAAAATATTATTATTAGCAATTTTTGCATTCCAGCGTGTTTACAATTTAGTGTTGTTTACTCAAGAAGTGGGCATTTTTTTATAATCATTATTTTTATATTATTGTGTATTGTACTATATAAAGCAATATAATTTATGTAAGCATTAAAGTTTATTTATGAATCTTGTTTTGTTATATATATTTTTGCACAAAGGTTGATTTTCTGCAATGTGCCATACTGGACCAAGTTTAAATTTTTGAGACTGATTGTTTTTTAATTTACTACTTGACTAAATTCTTGCCTTGCAATATTTTTTATAACTGTATGAAATAAAATAATTTTTAAATAATATAATCTTTTATTGACATCAAACCTTCCTGTAAGTTCCTGTGATGATACAATATAAAACTTATTATAAAAATGTATATAGTACGAGATTAGGCAATAGTTATAAGATACCAAATACAAGAAATGTACATAAAAATAATAAAACAGATTTAGCGTATACATATTATAGTTTCAGAAATATTTATCTGTTTTATAAATAGTAGATTTACAATTAATACTTGAATCATAGCACATTAGTTAATTAAAACACGCTCGTGTTTACCAATTGCAATTTTTAAATCATTCCGCATTCATGTCAATGTTAAAGAAAGCGGCAAGTTTTTATATATTACTTTCGCGTGATTTATAATTATGAATTGAAATTCTTTTTATATGCATAGAATAATATTGCAATCTATTTAACTCAAAATACATTTGTATGTTGAGCAATTAGTTTGCATGTAAATGTCATTAAATACATACTGCTACAATGCTCCTCTTTACACTACATGTGTACTACAACAATTAATCTAAATTAATAACTTTATCCAAATAAAAAAGTTGTAAGATAATTTTTTTACCTATAAAACTTTCAGTCACTCCACATAATATCATATTAAGTATATTATAACAAACATTTTCAACATAATAAAATATAATTTGTGTACTCTTCACTAAGCTAAAATATATTACGATTTTATTTAATAATAATCTTATGTATTAGAACAATAAATATTCTAAAACAAATACAATAAAAATAGTCAATTGCACGAAAAAGCGTTACCTTCGAGAATACAATATGAGCGCATTAGTATTAAATTGACTAGGTGGTCACTGTCATATGTCACTGGTATAATGTATAATTCATCTTAAATCAAGCTAAATTTTGTAAATTAACACAATTATATTAAAAACTAATTAATTTAGTAAAGCTTACTTTTATATGTGATTAAAATATTCATCCGACTCGAAGGACTGCTTTAACTAAAGTAATATTTGCTTTTTTTGGAACTATTTTATGAATAAGAGAGTGCTAATGTGAATGTATTGCAATAAAGTGCAAATATTCGAATATGCTAATCTTAATTAATTTTTTTTTAAATCTTACTAGCGTTGCTATGTTTACTTAGAATTCTTAACAAATGTCTTATGATAGTTTTATAATTGTCTTAATTATGATAGCAGTAATTGGTCCCATTATGTTCGAAGTTATCAATTACATTCGAAATCTATACTATCAAAGTACGTTAAAAATTGTCATATTATACATAATATGTTTAAGTTTTGCTACGATATAGTACACCACTTCTATTTGTTCGTGAATTAATAATTAAACAAAATGGTTACAAGAACACTAATATTTTAGTATGAAAATCTAATGTTTATTTAGTAATTACTTTTCATGTTTTAGTTCAATATAAGATTACCTATTTCACTTCGTATTCAAATACTTAAATTACATACAGATGTTCTGTCTTTTATATGCTGTAAGAATATTCTGTACCTAAAATCACTTATACATTCTGACCTAAACCCTAGTCAATGACCAAGGACCTTTGTATATAAATTATAGTAATTTTTGTCTTTGACTTATGAATTCCAAACATTATTACACTTAGTTAATCTTAGACTAAATGTACCGTAAAAATCGGCATTACATTTTCATTTTACGTAAGTACTAATTATATTTTTTTATTCATCACGTTTTGACTAATGCCCGGATTACATTACTAGTTGTCATAGATTTTTGTATCATAGAATTCTATACAAATAAATGTATAGAAAATCCACGGCATACTATATCTTCTGGATAAACTTAACCCGGGCAAACCTTATTAATGATTTCTTACGTTCGAAACGAAAACTTATAATTAGCTTTGTTAATCACTGATCTAGTTTTTTTGTAAAATAAAAAATCTAATACCAACATTGCGCATATTTAAAACATTTAACACTAACTTTGTGGTGGCAAGCTCCACACGGGCATATCATGTTTCTTCACTTTCTTTCTATAATGCCTATCTCTTAATCTCACATCGTCCTGTCTCGGTCTATCATCACTTCTCCAGTCCACTATTCTTTTAGGTGATTCTCTTTTGAATCTTTTTTCTGGGTCGTTCTCGTCGTAGTATACTTTGCTTTTGACAAATAGGTCATTTTGGGCGTGATCGCAGAGTTCTTCCGTCATTTCAATAAGTTCTGTGACGTCATCTCTGTTGAACGTGAAGTTTTGTGTGAAGTAGCCTAGCATTATGTCTTCGTGCCGATATTGTTGCATTTGAAGAAACACGTGAGGTAGGAGAAGTGGAAACCTTTGCAACCAGTAAGTTACAAATCCGTCCGGTACTTTGCCAAGGCTTTTCCGAACGTCGGGTTCCAGCTCTCGGTAGTGGTGTTTCTGAGAGATAAAGAAGTTATAAATTAGGTTATATTTGAGAGAAATTAACTATATTAGAAAAGAAGGAACGGAAGGTGATTTAACGTTCTTAACTTATAAATTATCTTCTTGTGAAATTATATCAAATGATAGAATTTTTGTAACTTTGTAAGAAGTAAATTTTCTTTAATAATTAATTATGGTTTTTTTTTTTTTTATTTAAATGTTTTTTTTTAGCTTTGGGAAACGCCCTTAAATAAGGTGTATCATATATATGATAATAGAAAAACAAATTTATTGATATGGTTTAAATAACCACATAAAATAGTTTCTTTTTATAGAGGGGAAAATGAGCCTATGGGCCGCACAAAAAGGGCAGCCATCGCAACCATGTAGGGGAGGTGGGGGGAACTGGAGCCTACTAAGGAAAAAGTTAAATAAAAGCCAAATTTATTGATACTTTATTAACTTTTTATTAGAAACTAAATCCTTACTTATTCGACTATCATTTAATCACAGCGTTAACGTAACATAATTTGGCATTTTGCCACAAATAAACTTAAAAGAAAAAAACAGGATCGCTCTCATTACCCGACTTTGCGGGCAATGAGAGCCTATAATTTCACATATGGGTAACGGGAGCTACTTAATTATTAAATCAGCCTCAAAGATTTCTATCTCAGTCTGGATCTCACTTATTCATATAAAATTTAATATAACGTAATCGTGTAACATTTAACTTTAAGGATCTAAGCAAAAAACGCAAATATAATCAACTGGGCTCTCAGAACCAGAACATTGCTTATGTGCCCATTTACCACAACTTCTACAACGGTACCACATCTCATTGTTTTTTCCTATATCACAGCAAATAGCACACAATGTCTCTTCTTCTGAATATTCTGACTCATCGTCGCAAAGATTCTCAACATCTTCGTCTTCAGACGTCTCCGTTTCATCCTCAAAAAGTTTCTTTTTAACTCTTGTTACATTTTCTTTTTTGTTCATTGCCTTCTTTAGTTTTTTTCCCTTTTCTGCTCTACATTTTCTATTTTTGTTGATGGTTTCTCCCTTTCTCTTTGTACTGATTTCAGTTTTATTTTTTTTCTCTAAGCGTTTCTTCTCTTTCTCTTCAAATACTGCTTTCATTGGCGTGCTAGACAAAATGACTGAATGTTGTTTTTGTCTAGAAGTCTTATTTTTGTTAGTTATGTTAGGTAGTGGACTTACAACTGATAGAACTTTAGCAAAATCATTCGATCTAGTTAGATCTGTAACGAGTGACTGTTCTTGAACGTCGTTTGATGTGGATGAGCTCGTCGAAGGATTGACAGTAGCTGGCTCCGAGACTGTTTTATAATGCAACATAAACGAGCCTTTAGAAGGGTTTTTATTTGGCGACAAATTTGGTGTGTTATTTTCTGGAAATGCTTTCTCTTGTAGTTCACTTAATATAGATGGACTAACAGCATGCTCAATATCAGGCTGCTCTTTTTCAAAATGTTCTTGAACTTCCTCCACCACAACAAAATCTTCTTCTGAAAAAACAGCAGGATTCATGGGAAAAATTCCTGTGGCTTTGAAACCAGAGATCCCTTTTTCTAAGCTTGCTACTCTGGCATAAGCTTTGTTGAACAATCCTGCAATATCATAGGGTGTAATTTTTACCATATTTTTGGATTTCATAAACATGTCACATTCCTTGTTGTAGGCTCTCTTGAACGGCCCAAAAAAAGTTACATCCAGAGGCTGTAACCGATGTGATGAATGAGGTGGAATGGAAAGCATTACAACATGGTTGGCTTTAGCTACTTCCCAAGCTTCCAATGTACAATGGCTATTGTGGTTATCCATAATCAGTAAAACAGGTTGTTCAGTGGTGGGTTTTGAGTAATCAATGAAGTGCCGCAGCCATTTAATGTATATGCTTTCATTCGTCCAACCATTATGAGAGCATGTGTAAACAGCTCCTGGTGGACCGTCTTTTTCTAGCTGTGGTGAGTGACGCTGTCGAGGGAAAATAAAAAGAGGCGGAATGAACGACCCTGAAGCACTCATAGCGCAGATAGTGGTTACGTTTTTACCTCTTTCCCATGACGTGACTGCTCCTATACGTTTTTGACCCCTAGGCGCTATAATTTTTTCTGTATCCTGAACCGTAGTTACGCCAGTCTCATCCATATTGTAAATTTGAGATGGTGGGAAGTGGTATTTTGTCATGACTTTTTCCAAATTTTCAAAGAATTGAGCCACTTCAGCTTTATTGAACCCAAGTATCCTATTGATGCTTGTCGCTTCTGGCTTTCTAATACTTAGATCAGGATGTCGTTGAAAAAAGCCAGTTAGAAAGTCTCTGCCCGCAGACTTCTTGATTTCATTAAATCGATCTGCGACACCAAAGCTTTCAGCCATGGCGTAGCATACTTTACAAAACTGAGCCCTCGTCAGTCCGTAAATTTTTTTTGACATTGTATGTAGATGATTAGCCAGAATTAATTCTTGTTCCTCAGTGAACACAGATGGCCTTCCTAGTTTAGGAGGACGCCTGTAGCTAGCATCGTTGACTTTAGCCAATCTGAATCTTTTTTCAAGGTGCTGTAGGGTATTCCTGTCTCTATTGATACCTTGTATACTGATGTACCGTCACGCTGAAGTTTTTTGACCGCATTTTCTAACGTTTCTACGGTCCAAGATGCTTTCGTAGTGGTGCGTTCTCTTTTTCTTGGCATTTTGATATCTAAAAAATAAAAATAATTTTGATAAGAATGTTGGGGTAATCAGAGCCTAATAAGCTCTAATTACCCGACTACCACCATCTTGAAATTTAATAAAATTTTATACTGCATCTAGCTTGTAACGAAATTATACGTAAAGATACTCAAAATTAATAACATTAATTATAAAATAAAAAAGGTTTGATTGTAACAAACAAATATCTTCATACATACCTGGCAATTTGAAATTTCGTATTTTTTATAAGCGCGGACTACAAAATTGACAAGCGTCCGGGGTCACATCACACGTGGCAGTGGCGAGTCGAGCGGCGCGGGGGGACACAAACGCAGTGTGCCGAAAGGGCCTAAGTGGCAACTGAGTAAATACGAGCTGTAGTTTAGTCTTTAGGCGCACCGCTCCCATTACCCTCTGGCTCCCATTACCCTCGGTTCCTATACAGTCCTATTTTAGTGGGTGCGTTGCTGGCTTTTGAGGGAATAGTATAGGTTTGGTAGGATAGTCCAAAAATCCTCCTGGCACCCATCTTTATTAATTTTAGTTAATATTAAAATTTAGTTTACTTTTGTTTCAATTACAATACAGTTTCTTCTGCTTTTTGTAAATATCCTTTACTCATTTGTTGGATTTTCCATAACCTTATTCTTTATTTTACCTTATTCCGTATAGCCCTAAGTAGATGTGCGACACGATCGCCCCGATAAGTCCGTCTCGCTCTAAGGTCATTAGCAACGATCGGGCATACATGTCCACGCCAGTCGCCTCTCAGCACTCGTCGAGTACACAACTCTAAAGGGTGATCTGCGCCTGAATTGCAGCTTTCTACGTGGTCGCTTACGTCCTGAAACATATCAATAGTTCAATCGTTAACTATTAAACACGGTTTAACAGATAAGAAATGTCAAAATGGCTTGAGAAAGTCACAGAATGCTTTGTTGTTAATATTCTTAATTTTCAAAATAAAACTCCATTAATATTCCATATTCAATATTCCATTATATTATTTTTTGTAAATGCTTGATGATCTTTTTAACCTTTACCAAAGATATATAAAACATATATAAAAACTACGATATATGGAAAAACATTTGTGGTTATTCAGAAACTTATCAGATTTTTAAGAAACATCCGAAAATTCAAGGTAAGGTCACCCGGGGCGAAAGCAAAAGTGACTAATTGATTTTATTCACAATTTAATGATTTTTGTAAAACGTGCCATCTGTTGAAGAGTAGAGCAATTATTACTTTTTTTATAAAGTCTAGATGGAGCTTTTAAGTCGCTAACTGTTGTACTGACAGAGCATTTTTTGACTACCGCCATTTTGGAGCAAAGTTTTGCGGCGCCGTCTGTTTAGTTTTGTGCCATAAAAAATATTTCACGTTATTTCCAGCCAAATTGAAGGTTCATCCTAATATAAAGATAAAACGTAAGTGCTTTTGGTATATTTGGTTAAAGGCTAAGTCTTTTAATTAACATTTTATTGACACAGTTACATTAACCTCAAATTTTTGTGCAGATGGGTAATTGCAACTATTTTTGCAGTTGCAATAGCCCCATTGTATTTGTATGAAAAAAATCAAATCACTAGTGAAGTTCCGTGTCGATATTTCAACAAGTGAAGTTCACTATCTATTTGCATAAAATATTTACCTTGGTATCTGTGACGTATTTTTTTAAACTTATATATTGTTTTTGTTAATAATTTAATTGAATTTATTTACATAGAAAACTTAATAATACGTGTTATTGAAAGGCAGATTAGGCGTGCACAAAATACATTCAAACTATGAAACTTTATGAAAGCCTTTACATAAAGTTACGATTTTGTTAATCTGCAGAGACAGAACGATACTTACGCATCTGCCCAGTGAATCTCTCAATTCAGAAATTGGCAGTAAGAATTACTGGACTGATCAATATTATCCTAGGTTTAATGATTACTCACATAATGTGGCATTATTAAATGCCAATATTATTAAGTCAGCTAGACATTAAGCAAAAATGTTGATGTTAATTCCCAAAAAATAACTTTAGCAAGACTGCGTTTTTGTACTTACTTTCATGTTATCTATTATACTTACTGTCCTTAGATGTTTATTTGATTATAAGAAATTTTAAAACCTTTTACTATGAAGATTTATTTTTTAATGAATCGCATTTTAATTCTTTACCTTAAATCAGACTAATAATTTTTCGGTCCTTTCATCGAATTTTTTTTTCACGAAGATTTATCGATAAATTTAGTAGTACGTATCTGTCCAACACTAGCAAGTATGGGAGGCAGTCGCATTCGCCCCATAAAAAGTTTAAATTATTTTTTCTGGAAACTGAGCCTTATTCCCAGCACCCAGATACCAATTTCAGATACCTGTAGTGTGAAACTATATATTTTTATATTAACCTTATTCCAAACGTATAGATTACGATTACAACAAGGTCATTTAACTGATAGTTGCATTAGCCTCAAGGTGGGGTAAATGTAACTTTTAGTGCTCTTATTCAACAAGAATGTAAATTATTCAATAACTTAAGCCTATTTTTCACGTACTTTATGTCGGAACTATTCAATGAAAGGCATGGAATAAAGTAAGTTCATTTAAACAACCATCATAATTAGGTAGCTAATGGTAGAGGACGACAAAGTACCAATTTATAAATTTTTAGTTGCTTTCGCCCCGGGTGACCTTAAATAAATTTGAAGATACGTCTATATATAACACACATATATATCTAGCCTAAATATCAGTTAATACTTTTGGTCCTTCGAACCGGAATATTACCTGTAAAAAGTTAAGTATACTCTGCTTGCCCCAAAATATGGGATACTTAAGTACAGTTTCACACGGAGGCCTCGCGGCTGCCTTAGCCGATATCATTGCTCGAATCAATATTTTTGTTAACACTACTTCTTCTTCAGGTAATAGTTTACTGCAAAAAAAAACTTATTGTATGAGCCACAACTCCTGAGTTGTATTCATAAGTAACTACTCCGTCCCGACTTTGTAAATGTATGTTTTTGGGTAATATTTTTTTAATGAATAGTTAATAATAAGGTTTTACTATAGAACGCAATTAAATAAACCTTATAACAAAGTATCAATATTTAAGACAAATATTCGAGTCTTTAATAATACAGAAATAACTGATAAAAATCAATAAACTTACTCTAAAGTATCTAAATTATAATCTCCAGTTAGTATGTTCGCCTGTCTTCTCAAGACATCGCCAAATGGATGCTGTCCCTTTGATAAGACATAATAAAACACGCAACCCAGTGAAAACATATCCACTGAAGTTGTCTGAAACCATAAACATATTTTCATTTAAAGTCGTGGTTACAATATGTGATAGAGCATAGAAATCATAGCTAATGTGTCTAGACTAGTAGCTAGACACATTCATACATTTACAGTATTATTTTTAGTTATAAATATAAATTATGCTTTTAAATCATTATTATTTATGTCAAAAACCGTGTAGTGCGTTCATAAAATTTATATTAAAAACAAAAATATTTAATAACGATAACAATGATAGTAATAATTATATTACAATTAATGAAATTCTGTAATAATCTTAGTAGTAATAAGGTAGAATGAAATAATTGTATTATTTGTATTCTATTTATTTATTCTATTCTATCTATGTCTATGATAATAAAAGCCTTTTTTTAAACTTTTGCTAAGTTAACTTTATTTAACCAATTTCTGTAAACTTGCATATAGTAGATCATTTTTCGTAAAATAAGGTCATAAAGAAGTTTCACTTCTTACGTGTGTACACTAGTACACGCAGACATATATTTTATTATTTAAATCTATAATCAAATATATCTACATTATTTATGAAACATACCGTTCTCTCGCCATTGATCATTTCCGGGGCGATCCAGCCATCCGTGCCAGTTACTCCAGAACGTCTTGAGAAACTCACGCGACCAATATTTAGTTTTTTAGATAAACCAAAATCGGATATCATGGCTCTAACTTCGCCAGATCCAGACGGCATCGAGAGTAACACGTTGTGTGGTTTAATATCTCTGTGAACTGTAGACACCAATTAGTTTATGTTAATTTGAAACTATTTGACAGCTGTCAGACGATAAGTAGAGTAATTAGGTTAGACGGGGACTCATTTTCAAAAATATTAAAAAAATAACTATGGTAAACATTCAATTGATACCCTGCTTAGTGGGGAAAAAAAAGAGTTGAAGAGAGAAACAAAAAGTATTACGAGCGAGTGACCCACTTTGTGCAAGGCGATCACTGCAATACTATTTTCTTTAACACCCCATTCCACATTGTAATTTGATAATGAACACGAATAAATATGTGAAATGGCGCAAAACCGCAAGTTTTTAAAATAATATACGTGTTCCAAATTCAAAATAATTAAAAAAGTTTTTATGTAACAGTATTTATGGCCAGACTAGTTGTATTTTTTTAAATATCTTAATGGACTTTAAAAAACCGAAGGAGGAGAATCAATTCCATGTGTGAAATACACAATTTTAAACAAGCAACAAGTACGGGCCTCATATAGTGATGGACACACACTCGCAGTAGACTTGCGAGTGCGTTACCGGCCTTTAAACAGGTACGCTCTTCTATAGGGAAGTAGTATTGGTTACAAAATATCATAGCAACTGGATTTTTATTGTATTTTATCTACTAGAAATATACATTTTTTAATATTCATATATTACCTATATCCATGGAATGTAAATGAGACAGGCCCAATGCTGCTTGCCTCAGTACTTCAACAGCGTCAATTTTACATTCAAAACTCAGTTTATTTTCAACGTAGTCCTGTAACGTGGCTGAGCACAGCTCCAAAGCTATGTATCTGAAATAAAATAATAAATAACATTGAGGCCCGTATTCTAGAATAAAATAAATCTAGTTTCAAGATTCTATCGATTCTACTAGGTACTGGTTAGGTTGCAGATAGTGGTACTGGTTAGGTTCCAGATAGTGGTACTGGTTAGGTTCCAGATAGTGATAAAGGTTAGCTTCCAGATAGTGGTACTGGTTAGCTTCCAGATAGTGGTACTGGTTAGGTTCCAGATAGTGGTACTGGTTAGGTTCCAGATGGTGGTAAAGGTTAGCTTCCAGATAGTGGTACTGGTTAGGTTCCAGATAGTGGTAAAGGTTAGGATCCAGATAGGGGTAAAGGTTAAAATCCAGATAGTGGTACTGGTTAGGTTTCAGATAGTGGTACTGGTTAGGTTCCAGATAGTGGTAAAGGTTAGCTTCCAGATAGTAGTACTGGTTAAGTTTCAGATAGTGGTAAAGGTTAGCTTACAGATAGTGGTACTGGTTAGGTTCCAGATAGTGGTACTGGTTAGGTTCCAGATGGTGGTACTGGTTAGGTTCCAGATAGTGGTACTGGTTAGCTTCCAGATGGTGGTACTGGTTAGGTTCCAGATAGTGGTACTGGTTAGGTTAGGTTAGCTTACAGATAGTGGTAAAGGTTAGGATCCAGATAGTGGTAAAGGTTAGGATCCAGATAGTGGTACTGGTTAGCTTCCAGATAGTGGTAAAGGTTAGGATCCAGATAGTGGTAAAGGTTAGGATCCAGATAGTGGTACTGGTTAGCTTCCAGATAGTGGTACTGGTTAGGTTTCAGATAGTGGTACTGGTTAGGTTCCAGATAGTGGTAAAGGTTAGCTTACAGATAGTGGTAAAGGTTAGGATCCAGATAGTGGTACTAGTTAAGTAGTGGTACTGGTTCCAGATAGTGGTACTGGTTAGGTTTCAGATAGTGGTACTGGTTAGGTTCCAGATAGTGGTAAAGGTTAGGATCCAGATAGTGGTAAAGGTTAGCTTACAGATAGTGGTACTGGTTAGGTTAGGTTAGCTTACAGATAGTAGTAAAGGTTAGGATCCAGATAGTGGTACTAGTTAAGTAGTGGTACTGGTTCCAGATAGTGGTAAAGGTTAGGATCCAGATAGTGGTACTGGTTAGGTTTCAGATAGTGGTACTGGTTAGGTTTCAGATAGTGGTACTGGTTAGGTTCCAGATAGTGGTAAAGGTTAGCTTACAGATAGTGGTAAAGGTTAGGATCCAGATAGTGGTACTAGTTAAGTAGTGGTACTGGTTCCAGATAGTGGTAAAGGTTAGGATCCAGATAGTGGTACTGGTTAGGTTTCAGATAGTGGTACTGGTTAGGTTCCAGATAGTGGTAAAGGTTAGGATCCAGATAGTGGTACTGGTTAGCTTCCAGATAGTGGTAAAGGTTAGGATCCAGATAGTGGTACGGGTTAGGTTTCAGATAGTGGTACTGGTTAGGTTCCAGATAGTGGTAAAGGTTAGGAACCAGATAGTGGTACTGGTTCCAGATAGTGGTAAAGGTTAGCTTACAGATAGTGGTACTGGTTAGGTTCCAGATGGTGGTAAAGGTTAGCTTCCAGATAGTGGTACTGGTTAGGTTCCAGATAGTCGTAAAGGTTGGCTTCCAGATAGTGGTACTGGTTAGGATCCAGATAGTGGTAAAGGTTAGCTTACAGATAGTGGTACTGGTTAGGTTCCAGATGGTGGTAAAGGTTAGCTTCCAGATAGTGGTAAAGGTTAGCTTACAGATAGTGGTAAAGGTTAGCTTACAGATAGTGGTACTGGTTAGGTTCCAGATAGTGGTACAAAGTTAATCGTTGTTCAAACACACTTTCTCCGACTTCTCGTCGAGTCTTGCAACTCGCGATTTACGACACTACTTAAGAATAAAGAACTTTTAAACAGGATTGAAGTTATGTATTATTATAAATTTACAACTATTTAACATAATTTTAAATTTATCCGACGTTTCACCGTGACCACGCACGCTGTAAAGCACGCGAAACGTCGGATAAATTTAAAATTATGTTAAACTTTTAAACACTTTAATTTTGTATCTTAAACTATTTCAATATAGCACAATGTTTCAATGTACGATTTTAATTTTCGAAAAAAAATAAATCAATTGCGCTACAGCCTTTTTAGGCCTGGGCTGCAGATATCTGTATCTGTTTCATGATCATTTGTTTATCTAATAGGCAAGTAGGTGATCAGCCCCCTGTTCCTGACACGCACCGTCGACTTTTTGGGTCTAAGGGAAGCCGGTTTCCTCACGATATTTTTTCCGTCACCCTTCGAGTGAAAGTTGCATGCACACATAGAAAGTCCATTTTTGCGCAGGCGGGGATCAAACCAACGACATTAGGGATAAGAGTCGCATGCTGAAGTCACTAGGCCAACACTGCTCATACAAATATTAAGAACCTAAACCAATTTGCTTGAATATTCAAAAATTATACCTGAATTGTTTATCCCGTTCCGTACAATAATAGCGTACAACGTGCGCGTGCGCATCGGATTCTCTCAAGAGCGCCACCTCGCGATCGGCAAATGTAAAACATTCCGGGAGAAGCCTTTTCACCGCAACAGCACGTTTGTCGAATGTGCCTCTGAAATTTAACAAAAAATATTTACACTTTTTGCATTAGAATTAAATAATAATATTAACAATAAAAAGAAAGAGATGTATAGGACGAAACAAGAAAAGATACAATAAGCTGGGAAAAACTGGATAAATGTTGCTCAAGACAAAGAGAAATGGAAAATATGGAAGATACTTAAGGCCCCTTTAAGGATACTTTTACCCATACAAATACTAAGTATAACACTAACTCAAACTCAAACTCAAAATATCTTTATTCAAGTAGGTAACCAAGTACACTTTTGAATCGTCAAGTTAAATTAATCGTAAATTTACATTTACTACCAGTTCGCAAGTCAAGGGCGTAGAGCGGGTAAGAAGAACTGGCAAGAAACTTTCCGCCACTCTTTTTAATCGCCAAGTATTGTCATACAAATTGTTTGAACTGGAGCAATTCAATCCCAAGGATTAGGATCATTTAAGTAGTCCTCAAATTTATAAAAAGCTTTGTTGATTAATTTTCGTTTAACGAGGGCTTTGAATTTATTTAGTGATAATTCTCTAATTTCGCTTGGGAGCTTGTTGTAAAAACGAATACAATTTCCATATAAGGAGTGGTCTAACTAACCTTCATTCTTAGAACTTATACTACCACAAATAATACTTATACTAAAAAATGTAAACTAAACAATTATTGTATGGAATAATTAATAATAAACCGTTAAAAACCATGGTGCAACGGGCGGCCTTAAACTAAGCTATCTATTGCAGGAACCCCTAAATTAATTTTATATTAAAATAAGTTGTAGATATAATTAATATCAATAAAAAAAAATGGTGCGTGTACTTATGTACGCGCGTAAGAAGTTATACTTCTTTGGCTTTCTTTATTTTTTTTAAATATTAAATAATTAATAATAAATATTTAGCGTTAATAATTTAACAATATTTAATATTTAGTATATTATTCAATTACTAATTAATATTAATAATTATTATTATTTTATTATATTATTAATTCAATTTATTAACTAGGTATGTTTCATAACCTTTTAACTAAGTAACAATAGGTCTTTGTGAAAAAGCATTGCTAAATTTCTTTGAAAAAATAATTTATACTCCTTTATTTGTTTAAAAGGTACTACAAATGTCATTATGGTCATTCAAAATTCTTGGCATAGCTGCTAACGTCACGCATATTCTATTTCTTTTTACTTGTAGATTGTCTTATTCCCATCTCGCTCGCGCACGCTCGGCGCCCATACTGATAATTTTGTGTCATGGTGCGCGCACTCTCATAAATATTTCATAACGCGCCTAAAGAAGTATAACTTCAAAAATATACAAAAAAAACAGTAGCGCTACAATGATCATTTGTCCAATCTAATTGGAATGTAGGTGTTCAGCCTCCTATGAAAGACACACGCCGTCGACTTTTTGGGTCTAATGCAAGCCGATTTCCTGATGTTTTCCTTCTCCGTTCGAGCGAATGTTAAATGCGCACATATACAGAAAGTTCATTGGTGCACAGCCGGGGATAGAACCAACAACCTCAGGGATGAGATTCGCACGCTGAAGCTACTAGACCAACACTGCACTATATACAAATTTACGAAAAAACATATTTAATATCATAGATGAAAATTTAGTATGATTAATTAATTTCTGATGAATCTCTTACCTGTAAACAAATGTGCCTTCACAGCCTTTACCCAAAACCTGATCAGTATAGAAACAAATTTTTCCGATTTGTACGAGTCCATCACCTAATTCCAACAACTGACCAGTCACTTCGCCTTGCGATGATGTAGACGTGTTAGAACTACGTGATCCTCCTTGGGATAACTGTTGAAATTCTCTGGCCTAAAAAATTCGTTAGTTAATTTAAACTGCCTGGAACATTGCAAAAAATGTCGGGGTCTTCGACTACCAATGGGTCCGATTCGCCGAATAACTTCTGATAAAATTGAGATTTTGAACCACGCGACCCTAAACAACAGTATTATTTTTTGGGAGCTTAATTACTCAATAATTTATTTACAAAGAAGTTTCACTTCTGACATGTGTACTTGTACGCACGCACTTATTTTTATAGAGCAAGGGCCAAACGGGCAGGAAGCACATCTGATATTATGTCGCCGCCCGTAGACAATCTCAATGGCAGAGGGCTCGCGAGTGCGGTGCCCGGCTTTTAAAGAATTTTAAAAATAGAATGCTCTTTTCTTGAGAACCCTAAGTCGAATTAGGTCATAAATATCATACGATAGGTATGTGAAACTAAATAGATTGAATATAGATTTTATAATAAGCAACAAGTTCAAGGACACTGACGTACAGTAACAAACTTGACAATTGCCGATAATTTAATAATAGGTTATTGACCTCAGTATATTTTATTTGCTCAATTTAGTATACAACATAGGCTAGTAACACAAAATGTTTGCTAGTAGTGAAAAGGCGTGATTTCACACGATTCAAACTCAACCCAGAGCTTACGAACCACGGCTTTGCACCAGTGGATCTTTGTAAAAGAACCAGTATGTCTCAGGCCCGAAAATTATTTATTAATTAAAGAAATTATCCTTATGGCAATACGATAATGTCGAGAAAAAGAAAATATAATAAAGTATATAATATTGAACACATAATATACACAATATCGCTATTGTGAATTCACTCTGCGAACATATAATGTTGATAGCGTCGGAGATAGCATTCAGTAGGCGCAACGTCTTTGATAACGGGGATCTGTGCAACAGGCTGGTTCTTGCCCTTGGTGTCGCAAATAAACACTATGCGATATGTGCGATGGCGAAGGCCTAGCCCCAGAAGAAACCCAGCCGATTATAACTATACAGTAAGTGTATGCCGCGTTAGTGGAGAGCGGGAGATCCTACATGATCAAAAATCCTTTGAAAAAATTTATATCCTAGACATTACATACGTTTTAAATAGTTAATTTAATTTCATAATATACAGAGATATCACATTAGCTACATTATGTGCAGGCTGTGTAATCAACATTAAACAAACATACACGACCTACAGATGTTTAAAATACCATAGTGAAAAATTCTGGGAATTGTTGTTTTTTAGTCAGCGTGTTCATAAAAATGTTACGTGTTTGACATATTAGCGTTACTGATATTTTACATTTACGATAAACATTATACGAGTATAAATAGTAAGAGGATATTCATATCAGCTTTATAAAATGCCAAAACCGGATAAGGAAAAAAATGCCATGAACTGCCTAGCAGAAACCTAGTAGCAAAAAAATCGGTTCTCTGTAAAGTCGGTTTACTGACGATAGTTGAACGTGACAACGTCATAAGAAAATACTGATGAATACTGATTATTTGTTTGATAGATATTTTAACGAACGAACGCTGCCGAACGCAGAGGCCGATTGTACCTCTTTGTCGCTCGTTCCGCGCTCTCGCTTGCACTTCAAGCCTTAAATGGAACGCCTCAGAGCGAGGTAACGCCGCATGAGTCATGTTTTTTCGTACGGGCAGCCGGCTCCATCGAATTATAAGACGTTGTCACGTCAAAAATATCGGTTGTCTGTAAAGCCGTCTTTACCGACGATAGTTGAACGTGACAACGTCATAAGAAAATACCGATGCATTTTTCAAAAGAAAATTTAAATTTTATTTGATTGATAGATATTTTGTATGGATATAGATAAGGAGGTAAATGGAAATCACAATTATTGAATTGATCGATTACAATATAATAGATATATACTTTATATACAATAAAGATGTCGAACACTGCCGAACGCGGAAACCGATTGTGCCTCTTTGTCGCTCGTTCCGCGCTCTCGCTTGCACTTCAAGCCTTAAATGGAACGCCTCAGAGCGAGGTAACGCCGCATGAGTCATGTTTTTTCGTACGTGCAGCCCATCCGGCTCCATCGAATTATAAGACGTTGTCACGTCAAAAATCCCCTCTCGGACTACTTGGGATTTCTGCATCATGAACATGGTATTAAAAATATAATTGAGACACCTTCAAAACAATAAATTTTCTTAGATAAAAGAATATCTGTGACCACAGATCAGAGAGAAGCTTAATCTATATATGATCATGCCATGCCATAAACAAAAACAAATGAACGTACCTGCAGCCTCAAATACCAAAACATCGTGACCACCAATCCCATAAGCACAATCAACGCCACCTTCAAAGCCTTATTCTCCTGCTGATTTACCCAAATATACACTTGCTTATACCATAAATCCGGTCTCAGACTAAACTCGGTAAACAATTCATCCGTTTGAACCGACACAGATATCGAATTCGATTTTAAATTCGTCTCATTTTCGTCTTGTTCCTTTTGAACCTGGCCATTTATAAGCTTCATACCACTGGATTCTTGTTTCAAATTTGAATTTGGAAGCTGTGGCAGCCACGATGTGGTCAACTCCGGCACTTTATAGTGCCCTAGTAACAAGTACGGCGGGGTTACGTGTAGATTTATATCGTTAAGTTGGTAGTGCACGTTTTTATAGGGCTCGTACGCATGTTCTGTAGATTGTATTGCCGTCGGGCCTTCGAGTAATAAGGGTCGTGAGTGTCCCGTTGATATTGTTACTGTGTTTTTGTCTACTAGTGATGAAAGGGCGTATAAGCCGTGGTTGTGTTCGCCTATGTATAGAGTGGGGCTGGAAAAAAATAAACCATAATAAGAATTCCACATGAGTTCGTATAAAATAAATATTCTTTGGAGAAATTTGTCTATTCCATGCGTACTAGCGAGTTCCTGCGTTTGATTACCAGAAAAAATACAATTACAGGTGATCATGACATAAATCGTTAATAATAATTATGAAGAGAATATATGAACTTGATTACTACAAGTAATTTTAAAAAAAGAACAGTGTCGCTACAACCTTTGAGGTTTGGGCCTCAGATTTTTATATCTCTTTCGTGATCATTTGATTTTTAAAGGCAAGAAGATGATCAGTCTTCTTTGCCTGACACGCCTTGGACTTTATTAGATCTATTTCGTCCTTCCTCGCGGTGTTTACCGTTACGTACCTACGTACGAGCGACTGTTAAATTCACACATACTTTGGACTTTCCATTGGTGCACAGCCGGGGTTTAAACCCACGACCTCATCAGCGCCCATCCCATAGTTTTAAATTGTATAACATATATTATTTGAATAACTCGACGTTCGAAAATTTATTTCCATTGAAACCGTTTTATTAAAAAGTAATAGGTACCATCATGTACGTAGTTGGTCCCAAAGTTCTGTCACTAGCACATTATTTCTACATTTCGAGCAGGATTTTATAAAAAAATTATTGCATTCTATTTTGGAATGTTTGATTATTGTTTTAAAACAAAAAACAATAACTTTCCGTAATTTTTCACGATGGAGTGGACAGTGAAAGTAAACCAAATAGTTGTTATTGCGTCGCACCGCTGTGGACACTCGCCGAGTACCATTTTCAAGTTGCTCAAAAATTTTAATATAACGCTTAGGTTTGTGTACGGTACTATTGATAGGTACCTTGAAGTCTCCAGTGTTGAGGACAAGAAAAGAACTGGCTGGCCACGCTCCGCAAGAACACCAGCAGTAATCAAAGCTATCAAGGCGCGGATAGTAAGAAATCCTGTCCGAAAACAGAAGTTGATGGATTTGCAGATGGGTGTCAGTAGGAAAACAGTAAAAAAGGTTTTAAATGAAGATCTTGGTCTACGAGCATACAAAAAAAGAGTGGGCACTTACTTAAGGCTCGTCTAAAAGCAATAAGGCTTAAGAGATCGCGGGTGTTGTTTAAGCGGTACGCGAAAAACCGACACCGTGATATCCTCTTTACGGACGAAAAATTTTTCGATATTGAAGAGAAGTACAATAAACAGAATTATACAGTGTACGCTAGGAGTTCTGAAGAAGCTGAAAATAAAGTTCCAAGGGTGCAACATGGACATCATCCATCATCAGTAATGGTTTGGTTGGGAGTGTCCTATTACGGGCTAACTGAGGTTAATTTTTTCGAAAAGGGGGTCAAAACCAGTGCTACAGTATACCAAGAGACGGTTTTGTATCACCTTGTCAAAGACATGTCCAGCACCCTATTTGCGGGACATCACTTCGTGTTCCAGCAGGACTCTGCGTCTGCATACAAAGCCAAGACCACTAAAGCCTGGTTTGAGCGTCAAAACATCGTCTTAATTAGACATGAGGATTGGCCTTCCTCCAGTCCGGACCTTAATCCTTTGGACCAGAAATTATGACAGGGCTTAGAGAGGAAGGTCTGTGATAAACCTCATGAAAATTTGGAGAATCTGAAGTCATCTTTAAAAAAACCAAGGAATGAAATCGACACGAATATGGTGCGTGCTGCGATAGACGACTGGCCGCGACGCTTAAGGGCCTGTATTAAAAATGAGGGAGGTTATTTCGAATATTTTTATGTTTTTTTTATTCCTTAATTAATGTACTAAGAATTGATATATCACTCATTACAAACTGATCAGTACTTTTGTTTTTATCATTATTTCCATTTATGACAGAACTTTGGGACCGACTACGTATATGTGTGTTTGTTCCGTAAACGAAACACAATTCTAATTAATTTCGACAAAGAACACTTAAAAACAATATAACGATTACATAAAAAGTAATTAATATTTAGAGGCTCACTTAGAAAAATAATTTACTTGAAATTAAATTGGTTCTATGTAAAAACTTATATATATCATGTCACGGTAAGCGATTGAAAATATAGAATACAACGGAAATAATTACATACAAGGTTACATAGAAAATATATTATGTACTGCGCATATTATACATATAACTTAGATTGATACCAATAAGGCTCGTTAAACGATTTTTTTTTAAATACATTTGTCTTCACTAAGACAACATGGAATATTACGATCTAGCCTAACTTAAGCCTAATAAGTAATTTAAGTCTAACCTCATTTAATAAAATGGATATTTAACATAAGAAAGTGTCCAATAACACTACTTACAGTCTCTATTAATCGAAATGAAACAATTTTATATAGGCGCAATATTATACAACCGGTAACCAGTAGGATAAAACCCATATAAGTCGAAAATATAATAAAATTCACCAATTAAATGTTTTATCACTATTAAACGGTTTTCTATTGAGAAATAATTTTAAATTTGAGAAAATAATATGCTTTACCCCTCTTAAACTTTTTTACATCTATAGTGAATTTTTGGCGCGATAATAGCCTATAAAACAATATGAAACCTCCTTTAAAATAATGTAAATTCTTCATTTAAAAAATGATAAATCAACTTACTACAATTCGATATTCGAATTCTTAATTCCCTGTCCATTTCTCAACGTTGTCGCATCTTCCATTATATGATCCAGAGTGTCATCACCAATCGAGTTGAAAGGCACAGAAATAAGTCCATCTCTGTCTAACAAGTACGCAGCGACCACGGGCGTCTCGAAATTGTGAGACCACACGAGATCACCAGATTTACGTGCGAACGACATTATACGACCATTTGATGTGGATGTAAAATGAATTATACCTGGAAATAATCGGAAAAAGCTATAACATAAGAAGAGACAAGACAAGTAGGTCGTTAAAGAAGAGAGAGGTGTAATATATTGTATTAAGCCAAGGAATAAGTTTAAACAATAATATTAACACTAAAAACATATATTACTATCACATGTTGTGTTTAGTAATGCTTTATATGCAATAAGTGTACATATAACGACCTTCGCCTTTAATCGAAAGTAAAAAAAAACAATTATATAAAAAGAAAAATGTTATTAACATTAAAACACAACCAATTAATTATTATACTATATAAGCAGGTTTATGTACTAGTAGTACCTTACCCTACACTACCCCTCTTTATGAGATCGGGTTAACATTATGTATCAAGATGTCAGAAAATATTTATATGTTTACTAGCTGACCGGGCAAACGTCGTTTTGCCATGTATATCATTTATAATAAAAAAATAGGGGTTGATCGTAGAGGGGTGAAATTTAGGGGTTTGTATGTATTTTTTAATGATGTATCATAAAGAAATAAAAACAGAAAAAAATATCTAAAAATAAAAATAAAAATTTAGGGGTGGACTACCCTTAACATTTAGGGGGATGAAAAATAGATGTTGTCCGATTCTCAGACATACCCAATATGCACACAAAATTTCATGAGAATCGGTTGAGCCGTTTTGGAGGAGTATGGCAACGAAAACTGTGACACGAGAATTTTATATATTAGATAGTTTTTAATGTAACGGGGTAAACGGGCAGAAGGCTCACCTGATATTAAGCGAAACCGCCGTCCATGGACACTCACATTGCCTGAAGGCTCGCAAGTGCGTTGCCGGCCTTTTAAGGTACGCTCTTTTCTTAATTCCAATTGTTTTGAAAATACTATAGTAACTCTATAATATATATAATATAATAGAGTTATTTAGACTAAAAATCATTTCAACTATAGCCGTGCAATTGATTAACGAAAGGAGTTAATTTAATATTAAAATAACACGTGGGAACGTGTACAGCTGACGTTGTAATCAATATTAACGAATGCATACTTGTGGTTGCAAATTCCTGTTTACCGTCACATGGAATAACTTTTACTCATCAATACTTATTTTTGATTCATCTGTATTATATTTATTGAAGAACGCAGGTAACTCTTTGATCGCCATAGCTAGTTATTATAAAACCGGGCTTCGCTGCTAGCGAATTTATGAAGATTAGGATAAATTAATGCGAACGCAATATTAAGAATACTTATAAATTGTCTTTTGAGAATGGAATACCAAATTTATTAGATCACATATCAATAGATGAATTTGACAATTGACAACGTTGTAACGAACTCTAGAACAGGAATTTATGTATTATGTTTAAAATTAGTAAAATTAAATCGTAAATTTACCTTTTATTGTCATTATTACAATAAATATGAAATCGGAATTGAATAACTAAGCGATTTTGCAGTTCTATCTTCAGAAAAATCAATAATATATTATACCCGCCGTTGCAGGATTACGTCATTGGTGGGGTGTAACATGCGAACTATTAAATTGGCCCTACTATAGCTCCTTTTACACTCTGAAGAGTTTTCAAACGAAAAGAAAGCAAAAGCGTGGCCCAATCAAACCTAACGTCCTAAAGTTGCAGAAGCAAAGAGAGCAGGAGAGACTTGGTGCGACGTGAAATCAAGACCGCAAGCGATGGAGACTCACTGTGGACGTCCTCTGCCCCATCTAGGGATTATATGACATTAAGTTATTTATTTCGTAATCAAAATCAAATCATAAAAAAATATGTCATTTTTCTTAGAAAAAAACTCAAAACGACACCGTGGCTGATTTAGGTACATAATCTAAACCTTGACCTAAATAATGGTGTTGAGTTTCGTGATATTTTAATTTTATTATTAAAACTAATCAGTGTAGGACGTACCAGAGTTACCAAAAATATGAAATCCCAGTCTGATATAAGTATAGTCCATATTTATTAAGAACATGTGGAATCCCGCGCGATAAGCTCTGACATAACTTATATTAACTCGCCATATCGCTTAGCGATAAGCGGGTACGTAAATACAATACATGCCAATAAAACAAAATAATGCCTTTAAACTCCAGGCCAAAAAGTAGAAATACGGTTTTAACGTGTATTTAATTTAACTTTAACCACATGAGATTATCATTAGTAAGAAAGTATAATTCGATACGCTTATTAAGATAAAGGATACAATCAAATGTAAACGTTATGTTAACGTTAAATACCTACTCCTTATCAATAACAATTCCTATACTACTTAGTGAAATGCTCTAAATTTTTAAACAATATTGAGTGCTATTTTTCACATCCACGGCACAATCCTCTGTTGATTGCGTTTTAATTATTACGTATTTGCAGACATAGAAAAACTAACAGTATTTCAAATAAGTGAAATTATCGCAGCAAAACCTGCAGCAACTATAAACTAATACACGAAATATGATCTTCTAAGCAGATCTCTATCTGTAGTAAACAACGCTTTGTGGACATACGAGGCTGATATTATGGCAGTTCAAGTCTTCAGGCGTAAGATGTTGCATCTATTGTTCCGTCACCAATAACAATGGCAAAGAAGAAATGTATTAAACTGTTAAATTGCATATTTGATTCAATCTTTGCATTTCTTAATCTAGTTTATTGTCGTTTTTTTATTGTATTATTCTTGTCTCTTTTATAATTATAATGTTTCCCTTTAACTGTTGTGCATATTTGTCATTGATGCATGTATTGTGTATTTTTTTATGTCGTGTGTTCTCTGTCTACCTTTTTAGAATTAATTAATTCTATATTCAGCACATTTGATACCGTCACACGATGGACTTGTAGTAATATTGACTGGTACAAAGAACCTGATCGAAAATGTGGTACGAAATTGTTCACATTAATTATAGATTAAATAATCCGACGGACAAGATTTTGTCTACTAACAGTTAAATATTGTTACATCAAGATTTAAACCCAACCCATTTATTAATATAACCAACTATAGCTTAGAGTTGTTTAGCTTTTCGAAGAAAATGGACTATTTACAATTTAATATCTCACCAAAATTCAATAGCGTAACCTTGTCTTACTGCTTAATCTATTAATAATTTTTCTGAAGATAGAACTAAGTACACAATTGCTTTTTTTTATATTCCGATTACATCTTTATTGTAATAATGACAATAGAAGGTAAATTTATGATTCACTTTTACTTATTGTAAACAATATCCGTTTTAGAGTTCGTTACAATGTTGTCAATTTTCAAATTCATCTATTCAAATGTGATCTATCAAATTGGCCATAATAATAAATTAGGTTTCCCATTTTCAAAAGACAATTTATAAGTATTCCTAAAGCCATATTGCATCAAGCATTAATGTATACTTGACATCACATGAAAATGCGTACAATAAGGACTTACCATAATCGTTAAGCATCTCTTTGGCCATGTCATGCGAGGTGTAATCGAAAAATGTGACATTCCACTTGTGATTTTCATTCTTGGAATCATGCATCAGTATGTTATACTCCGTACGAGCAACGTAAACACCTTTTTTCTTATCCAATTGGCAGGTATTGTCTTCATTGCTTTTGAATATTTTCGTGTTCTCGAAACCTGTGGTTTATACGAGATATCTGATTGTTTTTTGATAATGTGTTTTAAAAGATATTTTTCATTTTATTATTTTAGGAACGTTGTATCCGTTAATATTTGAACAGGCTCTTTTGTTTCTCGTTATTCTGCCTAGTCGTTGTTATTGGTTGAAAATAATAATAGTAATCTAATAAGACAGTTATAGAAATCTTGAATTCAAATTATAATTAACTACAGTGATCATATATTCAGAACCGAGAGTTAGCACTGAGTTAGTTACTTTACTTCACTTCACTTTATTTATAATGGCGACATCTGTGTAAATCACAATTCCGCCAATGTCACGTTCTAAGTCTTCACACAGTGAGGATAGATTTGATAATTTTGATAGATTGAATTTTATCTAAGCAGAGTTACCCAAAACAAAAATGACATCACAATAAATACAACACACACAGACATCTAATAATATATACAAGAGGTTAACATTTTACTACAAGGTATGAAGGGGAGAATCTTATTTATAACTTTAATTTATTAACAGAAATAAATTTCCCTAATATTTTGACGATCGAGCTGGATGGGAGGGAAAGTAGGGAGTTAAGGTTACATGGACGAGGGAAATCTGGAGAAAGATGGTCAAATAACGAGTCATTAATTAAAGAACAGTTAAAAATATATGGTCTGTCGAGCCCTCGTCCATACCACACTCACAGAGAGAACTGTCTTTTATTTTAATTTTGGCTAGATGAACGGGAGTACAAGCGTGCCCTATACGAAGACGGCAGATTATAGACGTGACCTTTTTGTTTAAAAACTTATATTTAAAAAACCACGGCGAAGAAGGGATTGAATACTGAATATTAGCATAGTGCCTGCCAGTTTTTTCTTTAGAAGATTGCCAATCAATAGTCCAGGATTTTAAAAGGTGGGAGTACGCAAGAGCTGATAGGTCGTGGGCCGAGATGTTGGGATGCTGACAAGATCCGCAGAAAATAGCACCTTTTGCACAAGAGTCAGCAGTTTCATTACCCGCTATACCACAATGACTAGGTATCCACAAAAGTACAATATGAATATCTTTTTTACTACACCTAAACAAAGCTTCTCTTATTTTTAGAATCGTATTATGTTTTTTTTTAGACCTGAATGGATTGGAAAGAATTGCTTGTAAACAGCTGCGAGAATCGGAAAAAATTGTAACTTTATTTAGGTTAGGAGCACTGGAACCAGCACGTGGTCATACGCAGATGCGATATCCAAGAAAACACCCACCAGGAACTGTTTCTTTTTAAAAGCAATGCGAATGTCGGTCGTTATTATACTTAGGCTATCCATCGTACTTAAGCCTTTCCTGAAACCAAACTGGGATTTTGCAAAGATATTGTTACTTTCACAAAACCATTCTAAACGAATTTTAATCAAATGTTCCATAATTTTTAAAAGGGTAGAAGACAAAGCAATAGGTCTGTATGAAGAGAAATCTGATGGATCTTTGCCAGGTTTTAGAAGCGGAATGACGATTTGTCTGTTCCACGATTCAGGAATAATTCCAAGATCGAAAAAACAGTTTACTAAATCTAGAAAGTACCTCTTAGTGCCTAATGAAGAATTTATGAGGAATGAGTAAGGGATTCCATCTTCTCCAGGGGAAGAGTCAGAGAGACCATTTAATGCTTTGTTAAGTTCTTCCAAGGAGAATTGACAATCTAGACTGTTTGAAGAGGGGATGTAAGTAATGTAATCATAAAAAGGGACTGATGGAGGAGCCAATTTGTCGGCAAAGGAGGTAATCCAGCTAGACGGATCATTAAATGGGACATCATAAGAATTGAGGGAACAACGGAATCTTCTGATCTGCCTCCAAACAACAGACGAAGGGGTACCAGGGCACATGCTCTCACAGAACTTATGCCAACCAAGACGTTTCTTATTATTTAGAAGTCTGCGAGCAGCTGCAGAAGCTTGTTGGTAGACATAAAAATTTTCCAAGGTCATGCAAAGACTGTATGACCTTTCTGCCGTTTTTCTTTTTCGAATCATCTCAGTACATTCGGAATCCCACCAAGGAGGAGAAATTTTCCTTTGTGTAGAAGATTTGAGTGGAATATGTAAACTGGCAGATGAGGTGAGGGAGTTGACAAAATCATTGTATGAAGATAGGCAGTTTTCAGCAGACTGCGGGGAGCGCAGCTATCTTAGAGTCAATAGAAGATGAAAAGTCTGACCAATTGGCCTGATTCAGTTTAAATTTTAAAAGAGGGGAAGGGCGAGTAACGCTCCTTAAATTGGTTGGGAGATCAATTAAAATGGGGAAGTGGTCACTCCCACAAGTGCTCTTAAAAACACGCCAGGATAGAAAAGGGAAAAGATCAGGAGAACAAAGTGATAAATCCACTGCGTTAGCGGGATTCTGAGATGGAAGACTCCTTCTCGTAGGACAACCATTATTCAAGACACTTATGTTTATATCATCGAGTAAATCTAGTAGAAGGGACCCAAAAGAATCTGAGGAATGACAACCCCAAGAAACATGGTGGGCATTGAAATCACCCAACATGACAACAGGAGGAGGAACCGAAAGGATAATAGAACGTATATCAGAAATGAGGTCGAAATGGGGGTGGGGAATATAAACAGAAATAAACGAGATATTAAAAGCTCTCATAGCAACAGCATTAATACCATCACAATGAGGAATAGATAATGCGTGGAAGGTGAGGGATCGGCTGACCAAAAAGGCACAGCCAGCATAGCCATCATCCCTGTCATCTCGGAGACACCGGTACCCAGAAACCCTAAAGCGGGAACCCGGCAATAACCAAGTCTCCGAAATGGCTAGAATAGATGGAGTGAATTTATTGATAAGAAAGGTTAATTCTGATTTTTTACTGCGAATACTGTTACAGTTCCACTGAATTACCAGATTCGCCATTTTTGGTGACGAATGAGTGGAGCAAATTAATTTTTTGGGCAACGTGGGACGGTATGGGGATGTCATCATACTTGGATAGCATATTACAAATTACTGCCCATAAGCAGTCAAGAAGATTTTCATTTGGGGAGACTTCATTGTTGATAAGGGAAGGGGAGCTTACGGCACAACCATTGGGTAAAGAGGAGGGTAAATTGCAAGTAATGGCCTCATGGGCCGCCTTATCAAAGGATTTTCCTGATGTTGGTCTAGAGCGAGGAGGGAGAAATACAGTTTTCCTGTAAGATGTAGTCTGACGGGAAACTTGGGAAGGTAAAGTAATGGGCTGGGATAAAGAGGAGGGGGTTGTTTTTACAGAATCTGCAAAAGTTTTGCCACTGATAGGTCTAAACCGAGCCGATGCTTCGAGATAGGAAATGCTCTCTTGAGACATACAACTCTTTATATTTTTTTGTCGATTATGTTCAGGGCAAGCTTTGTTGGTCGCAAAGTGTGAGGCAGTACAAAATAAACATAATGACTCTGTTTCAGGGATATTACACTCATCACCAGAATGGGCTAGACTACAACGAAAACACCTAGGCTTCGATCGGCATTGTGACTTTACGTGACCAAACCTACAACAGTTAAGGCACTGAATTGTAGGGAGTTGGTACGTTTCAACGCGGAGGGAACTATGACAAGAGAATATTCTCTCAGGAAGGGTTTGACCTTGAAAAGTTAGAACAACGGTTTGTGTTGGGATCCAATTAATTTGACCATCGGAGTTCGTCTTGCGGTTTAGGCGTCTGGCCTTGAGGACTATACCTGTACCTTCGGGAATTTCCAAAGTTTCGACAAATTCCTGCATCGACCAATCAGCTGGGACACCTCTCACAAGGCCCATACGGGAAACATTATAGTTAGGAATCGTAACAGAATAGTTGCTGGAAGGTACAATGGGATTAGACACAAAATTATTCGCATCTAAGCCCGACTTAAACTCAACAGATATTCTATTACGTCCCACTCTCTTAACACCATCTCGAACAATGTTGGGTATTTTATTTTTTACCAAGAAGTGACCAAATTTAATTGGGCGGATTGATGTACCAGCGGATGGGTCAGATTCAGGGCAAGAAACATGGACTAAAAAAGGGCCCTTGTCATTGACAAGGTATGACTTGGGAGAGCCAGTGAGAGATGGATGGGAGTAAAATCCTGGGTTGACGTCATCAACAGATGACCGGACATCGGTCATTGGTTTTTTGGAAGGTTCCACTAAAGATTCATTGACAGTATCAAGTCTGCGCTTGACAGCAGGTTGGGGCAACAGTGGGGTGGATAAATCCATTGATTCCACCGGAGAAGAGACCCTATCCGGAGGATCAGGGGGGTCTGGAGGGCGTTTCTCCATTATAGTCTACCAAAAATATAACAAGGTAAAGGGAGAAATATAACAAATAAATAAAAATAACTTACGTAATTAGTTGATGTTATTAATTAACCACCACCAATAGGATAAGTCAACTTATATTCATTAAACTACGAGAAAAAATAGAAAATACTAAATAATGATATCCGAAACACGTGTAAACACTTATACCCGCAACGACGGAATCGGGAAAATCCCTGAGTTAGTTAGTCCTGTACGTCAAAAATGTATTCGATTTTGACATAAGGGATTCAACGTCAAAAGTCAAAAAGGTAACACAATGTACACTTATGAACGTCAAAAAAAAAGAAATATACATTAAATGCTTCTAGTTTTACAGTTCTCAAATCAAGGGCGTAGAACGGGCAATAAACTCTCCGCCACTCTCGTTAATCACCAAGGTTTTGGTTTTACTCAACGTTTGTAAGGAGCTGCAACCATTACACCATGTTCCACATGACATCTTAAGTAATAAATAATAATAAAATAAATTAAAAACAAAGATATGTCCTCTATCAGCAGGAGGCATGGTGAAATAGTTTCCAAGTCTAGGATCTATATCCCTTAGAGTCCTCAGTTAAAAATTACTATAAAAATATTGTTCTTACCAGAAATATGCTCTCTGGATCCAGTCAAAGGATCAAGCATAAACCAGGTATCGCTCTTTTTGCCCGTGTACAAAATCCCATCGGTAGAACGACACGGCGCATTGGCTACAAGCTCTGGTATGGTGAAGGGCAGCTTTTTCAACATCTGCTTGTCCCCCCTCGGCCCATACATATATAAGGAACCATGACGAGGATCAGGCAGAAATTGGGGCATCAAATTAGCATGTTGATTAGGCACTTTCACCACGGGTTCTGTAAAAAATCAGGTCACCTTGTTTAATGTGTCGCTAAAAAACGGTAAACGATAATAGAACATCGTTAATAATTGAGTTTTTTGACGAATATTTTTTTATATCAAAATAAGAATAAGGTTACAAATAATATTGTTCTGTGAACTGTGTATATAATATGTTATTATTATAATTTTTTTAGATTTTAGTTTCTAGCGGCACATGTATTTTTTGTCTTTGTTAATTTTTTATGCATTTTTTGAACTTTACACGCATTTGTTGTTTTTTTTAGAAGAAATAGTTTGATAGTGATAAGGCCGACCGTTGCCTAATTACTAATGTAATCTTTTTTTATATTTTACATACATATAAGGTAACGAAGTGCTTTTTTTATTTTTTTATTTATTTATTGTAATGTGTAAAACTGAGTGATATAAAGTATTTCACTATATCAGTCACACATATATAGTTACTTTTATCACCAAATAATGACATTCAGACCTTATCGTAACAAGTAACTGTAGTTAACACTATATTCACGTATACAATAATTATTCAGAGCCATCAATAACATGACATTCACGCCGTGTTACATTTCACTTATTTTTTTTATATGACCTTTTCCATTAGTATATTATCTAGCGATACTAATTATCCAACTCTTTTAAATAATTCTAGTAATATTTCTTTTGTTTTTAAAATCGTATAGAATTATAAGGCACAAAATAATAAATTATACTACGTTAACAAAGGGCATCGAAAACTGTCTTCAAATCGTAGAAAAACCCGAGACATTTAATTAAAAAAGAATCTAATCGAAACTTTTATCGAAATATTATATTTGTATTGTATAGTCCATTAAGATTAAGCGCGACCAGCCAGATAGTTTTATAAAATAATTATAGACTTAGCAATAGCATATTTTTTAATAGTACAGGGGGCAAACGAGCAAGAGATTCACGTGATATTAAGACATACCGCCGCTCATGGACACACACAGTCAGAAGGCTCGCAAGTGCGTAGCCGGCCTTTTAGGAATTGTTACGCCTTTATCTTGAACCCTATGTCGAATTGGTTCGGAAATACTTCAGTGAGCAACTGGTTCCATATAGTGGTGGTGCGCGGCAAAATGTGCCTTAAAACGCGAAATCAATAAACCCGCAAGAATAACCTACGTGGCGTATATCTAAGTTAGTTCAATAATTATGTTAGGTATGAAAAAAAATATTGTGTTGGCCCTGTGGTTCGAATCAGCTATAACCAATGGATTGGTCTTTCTATGTACCCAATTAACTTGCACCTACGGTAATTACGGTAAATCGTGAGAAAATATCTTAAAACCCAAAAATCCACATTTGTCAGGCACAGGCTTATCACGTACTTGTCAATAAAATAAATATGATCAAATAAACGAATGCAATCTAAGGGCAATACCCAAGGTTGTAGCGCCACTGGATTCTTATTACAAAGATGTGAGCTGCCACGTTTCTTTGGCGACTTTAGAAAGCATTGATTAAACGCAACGTGTATTTATTATTTATCTTTGAAAGCACATGTTTACAAAGCATAGATATAGCTCCATAGTAATTACACCGATGCAATCCATACGCCTATAACCAAATGGCCGATGCGTTGATAACATGCGTCACAATTGAATTTTTTAGATATGGATATTTTTAATGTTCTTATGATCAACATTGTATGTCATGTATTCGGTTTGATATTAAATTATTAATACTTGTAATCTTAAACAGATAAACAAAATATGTAGGATTTTATATATTATATAGACTTATACATTATATTAATTATAAATTACACCCAGTGCAATAAGGCGAGTCGCATATATGTATTAATTGCTTTCAAGCTAACAAAATCTCTATACAAATTTTTCAGCCCCAAGCAACGCGATAAGTAAAAATAAATTCACACACAAAAGAAAAATTAAAATCATTGTGTGCAGTTAATTATATTATTCAGAGAAAATCATGTGATAATATACAAAAGTAATAAAATAAAATTAAAATATATAATTCATTTTCTGAGGATTCTGAGTGTAATTTACTCAATTTAAGGCTAGTTTAGATAGTACTAAAACCAAATATTTGTGAATTTTGTTGTTGTTTATCATCTTTCTATACTCATGAATCATAAAAAGCTGATTCAATTATAAGTGATATTAGAACTTCATATAAAATACCATTTAAAATAATGCAGATAATATTATATATTAATTATCTTTCATAAGTGTGCCTGCTAAAATTAGGGCATAAATAATCCTTAATTTATAAGATTAACAATTATCATATAAATAATATCTACCTGATTAGACATCAAAAATATTTTATCAATAACTTGTCAAGAAGTGGAATCATTCATGAAATACATATAATGATTAACAAAATTATAATTATAAATTATAGTAGACCATTTTATATAACCTCAATATTCAAAATATGAAATATTGTAACTCATTGAAAATTTTTCAGACTAAAACTATGCTAGTTATTGATAGTTTTAATATTTGATTAAATATTTAGTGAAACACAACAAGAATTAGACGTTAGATATTAATGTAATTTTATAAATTTCAATGTAACTCGTGAAGCACTGTTGCAGCAAGCTGATTACTAAAATGAACATACCATCTTTCAGTTTCCATATAACATTCCCGGAGACTGGCTCGACCGCTACCATTCCACCCCCGAGTGTAGCAAACAACAGGGGCCGGTCATCCAAAGTCCTTGATAACTCAGTACTTTCCTGAGAAATAATATGATTGTAAATCACCTTGCACTTTACACAATATTATTATTATTTACACTACTATGTATCTCACCTTATTATCACTGCTTACAATACCATCTTGTCCATAACATCCAAATGAAAACAATAATATCAGTAAAAACTTCATAGTTGCATACAATTTTTCTCATTTCATCATTATATCATACACTATTTATATCGAATGTAAACATAGGCCATCCGAAATTCGAATTCATCAAATGCAGTAATTTTAATGTTTGTACAAAGAATAATCGCGAAATTGTTTCGACCACAGTATTGACGATGATCGGTGAATGTGATTTGTGAAATGTGAATTCTGTGCGACAGCCGACAACTGCGACTTGCTTATAACCTGCGTATTACAATTTACCTTACGTGATATAATATTAAGACATTGACAACAACCTTTCGATATTTTTATTTATTTTTTGGAGCCTTGAATTTAATGTAAATTTATTATACTCCGATTCTTCGACTTAATACATCTATATATATAAAAGAAAAATGGTCTTCGTTTGAGGCTCCTTCACGCCTAAACCACTGATCGTATCGACATGCGAAATTTTTCCTAGATGGTTTATGGCTATTTATTTATTAAATTCCAACGTTCCTTCATTTTTTTATTGCTGTTTTACTTTTATGAAAATTTATCCATACGGACTTCACCGCGGAAACATTCGGGGAGGCTTCCTAGAACCTCTAAACGTCAACATCTGTTAAAAACTCGATTTTCGAAATATTTCAATTTTCTTAGCGGGAAGTTAAAAAGAAGAATAATAAAAATATGAAAAAAAATAAAATAATGAAACATAAAATTTATTTTAATTCGTCCAGCAAAGCGGGCGCGAAACGGCTAGTATTTATATAAAAAAAAATTGTGCGTGTACTAGGTGTACACACGTAAGAAGTGAAACTTCTTTATGATCTTATTTTTCGAAAAATGATCTACTATATGCAACTTTACAGAAATTCGTTAAATTAGATAAAGTTTAACAAAAGGCTTTTATTATCATAGACATGAATACAAATATTTCATTTTACCTTATTACTACGAAGATTATTATAGAATTTCATTAATTGTAATAGAATTATTACTATCATTGAAAAACGAGACGATTTGCTACAAAATTTCTCCCATACGTCGATAAAGAAGTTTCATTCCAACGCCGATAAAGAAGTTTGACTTCAAAAAGCAACATGGCGGGTAACCGAAAAATGTGACGCGTAACGAAAAAATGTTACACTAAATTTTTTTCCAACCTCGATAAAGAAATTTCACGTCAATAACAAAAGTTAAAACTATAATATCGATGTTGATACAAGTTTTTTTTGTCAATTAAAATTTCCTTATTCTATGGAGATCTTTAGTGACAGTGACAGATGACTATTGTTCGGCTGACAACTACCATACATATTTTAGAACTTGACACGACTGTGAAATGTGAATTTTCAGTTTTCACTCTAATATTTTGTGTGATATTGTGTTTGTAATTTGATGAATAACGATGTTCGCGTACGTTTGATAAATGGTGGAATTTATGCGTTGAGCTAAAAGTAAATAAAATAACTCGTTTAATTTTCTTTACAAATACTATTCGTCTTATGATTTCTAAAATGCAGTTTTAAATATGGAATTTTCTGGCCCAGGTGAGTACTCAATTAGTTTAAATTGTATACTTATTTATCATTGAAACATTTTGTTGCGCCTGTTTATGCCTATGCTAAAATATATATTTTTATCTCATATTTATATTTAATAGTTCGTCTCATTTTAAATCTTTATTGTTCGAACTAAAAAAAGATTGCCAAAGTAAAATTAAATATTTTTTTAAATTGGCCTTCTTACATTTCAAAATTCCTTTGTCTTTTAAATATCTCTTGACTTGACTCACTTTGGTTTCAACTTGGATAATTATAATGTTATAACAAAATATATTTTCAACCAGCTGCTGCTTTGAGAATACATCTTTATTGCAGGTAAATCCCCGAATTCTGCGTTATCGTTTAGATATAATGCAAACAACGAAGAGCTTGAAGAATTATATCAAGCTTGTGAATCTGAAAATGTATTACCACAAGGAGATCAACCATTAAAAAGTGAAACTGCAAGCCCTAAGAAAACAGAAAAGACATCATCTATCATAGATAAATATTTTAAATCTATTAGATCTGAGAAATCCAGTGAAAAAGTTGAAGATGTTAAATCTGACCCAAAGCCAACTGAAGAGAGCAAAAGTTCTACTCCTAAAGAAATTACTTCCTCACCCATGAAAGAATATTTGAATCGTCTTGGTAAAGAAGTACCTCAGAAAGTTCAGATATAAAGGAACCTAATGAAACATGGAAAATATTCCATGATTTTAAATTTAAGATTGCTCAAGCTGTAGAGGACATGAAAACAAAATCTGTGGAAGGTATGTTACACTTTTTTTTAGCCTAGTATTATATACATACAATACTTTTTATGGGGTACTCTACATAATTTCTATTAATATTATTTTAGAAACAAAAGAAAAGTCTCTACCAAGGGACAACTCTACATCAGACTCTGAGGAAAATTCTACTACCAAAGACTTAGACCAACACAGCATTGGTGATACTGATAATCAGGTTATTAACATTTTACATTTAAGTTTATGATAGAAATAAGAAGATAACAAACACCTGAAGGTTTGTTTAATTAAATTGGGAAAATTTCTAAAATGATTAAGACTTTCTTAGAAATACAAACATTAAGCAAAATATTTAATGCCATCAACAGGTGTCCTCACTTGATAGCAGTATACAGAATTTATCCGAGATGACTCAACCAATCACCGCCAAAGTTATTGAGCAAGAAAATCGTGAAAATAACACTAAGAACCATTCAGACTCTAGTGATGACACACAAAAGAATCTAAGTATGTATAATCTAATAAATTTATTTAGTAAAAAATGTTAGTTCAATGCACTCTGGTTTTGTCTTTTGCACTATCGTTATAGGTATTGCAAATAAATCAGGTCTGTAATAGTACAACCTATCTGCTTTTGATTGTCAACTATATAGCATAGTGAAGAAATTGGTAAAAACCAAATGTCTAATATTAAGTTCTACTTATTCTGGGGTTTTTTATAATAAAATATATTTTTTTAATTCGTCTAAGCTTAAAATAACTAATTTTTGCGTTAGAAATATGAGAATTATTTTAACCTAATTAGAACCTTGTACTTGTTTCAAGCAAAACCGCATACTTTCAGGGTTAAGTGAAACAGATGTAACTAAGGATATTTTGAATGATAACAGCATTGAAGTTGAATCTGGTATAGAGGCCCTTGAGGATACAATAGACGCATTTGGCGATGTTAACGCTGTTGATAGTCCATTGAGTAGACCTGTTGACATGAAAATTAACCCACCAACGCCAATATCCACTCCAGCCAATTTTGGCCTGCCGCCAAGTAAAAGCAACTTATCAAAACCGGAATCACACAAAAAGTCTAAGAGCTACATTTTTAATTTCACATTGTATATTTTAACTATTTTAGTAGTTGTTAATTATTTATTGTTTCCGAATTGTAATGTGTGGAATGGATTCTTATTGGGGCTGTGGTTTTTCTGTTTTGTGAGTAATGTCAAACAGTGGGTGCTAGATACATACTTTAGTGATTGGGAACCGAGTAGTAGAACCTTTTTCCAATTGAAGAGGAGCAGTACCATACCCATAGCCTACACTATTCCGTCTGTGAAGGAGCATACACCGTTGAAAAAGTATGAGGTAAGTTCATCTAGATTAGAATGTGGACTATATGTTTTACAATAAAAAGATCCCATTTTTTCCTTGCTATCAATGAACGTTGCACAAGGTTTTTTTTTTTAAATTTGTATTCTGACTTCTGTCCTAATACCAAAAGTACTCATAAAATTACAATAATCCTTTCATAATTTTAAACACACATTAACATAGAAAATGACGTAGATAAAATGTTAGTTTTAATGACCTAAGTGTCTGACTCATTAAAATTCATCAAACAAATAACGCATTTATTTCTATAACATAAAGTTTATAATTGTATACATTACGTATTAATTACTTGTCCACAGGGCTGGATAAATCACTATAGATTTCCTGATTACGACCCTTTTACCTACCACATAAATAAAACAACAACTGCCTTTGTGAAACTCGAGGGTAAGTTAATAAAAATGTTTTATTTAAATCTATACATTTAAAAATAACCAAAAATAAATGACGATCAGAAAAGAGAAATAAAAGTAGGCTTTGGTAGTATTATGTTAAGTGGGTCAAGGAACGAAGTCATGAATACCAGCTAGTAAGAAATAAATTCAATCACTGGAGTTTTTATTGTGGTATGTGGTATTTTATACATGACTATCTGACCCGACAGACGTTCTGTCTTACCTATGATTATTCAGTTCGAATAGGTATTATTCATAAAATAATATTCATAAACTTTGCTTCTTTTTCATTTTTATTCTATCAATCGCCGACAGTTATAATAAATTAATATTGTCGTTAAGTTTTCTTAAATTTCTCTTTTATTACAGTAAATTTTTACATCCGTCCACGCGTGATGCTATGACAAAGGGAAATAGAGATTATTTTTTATAAATATTTCATCGGTTTTTTATAAATCGTTTCCATAAAAACAGATTATTACAATACAAATGATATTCCATAAATATATATTTTCTGCTACGATTAATTCTCCCCCATGCGTATTATAGTTAGCTTCACTATGTAATTAGATATTGTACTAATTACATTAAAACTAAGAAATGCGTTAAGCTTTACAAATGTACCGCAATATTAATGAAATATCGCATATATTAACGAACCGTACACGTGTCTATTGATTTTAAAAGATGTATTTGATAAGGATTAATATTACCTTGAAAGGGTTTTTAAAATTTGTAGAATGGATTTGCTTAAAATTATAACTTCAGTATAACTTGTATTTCGCTTATTCATAAAATTTAAATCAGTTATTGCATTTCTAAAATGCCCTTTCGAGCAGTGTTGGCCTAGTGGCTTTAGCGTGCGACTCTCGTCCCTCGTCGTTCGTAGATTCGATCCCCGGCTGTGCACCAATGGACTTTCTTTCTATCTTTCTTTCATTCGCTCGCACGGTGAATGAAAACATCGTGAGGAAACCGGCTTGCCTTTGACCCAAAAAGTCAACGGTGTGCGTCAGGCTCAGAAGGCTGATCCCCTTCTTGCCTATTAGATTACCAAATGATCATGAAACAGATACAGTAATCTGAGGCCTAGCCCGAAAAAGGTTGTAGCGCAATTTTTTTGTTAAAATGCCCTTTCGTGTCTGTCAAATTATGTTTACGCTGTGGTGAAAAGAGACAAATTAGTACTTGTATACGGTGCAAATAAATTTAGTTATTTTTATGAAAAGGGGTTATGTTTAAGAAATTAATAAAGTCTATGTTACTTAGGTAACTGTGTAATGAATTTTTGAAAATTGTTCAGTCACTTTGCAGTAATTCCTAATTATTATCGGTTCTCTTTAAGAATCATGGAAACACTAAGTGCTTATGTCAACTTAAATTTGTTTGACCTTATGTAATTGACAAACTATTGAGATTGCGTGGAACCACACCTCATATTGGACGATTCGCGTACCTAGCGCATTTATCTAATGTTATCACACCTGAAAGATAAAAAATAATTTTCAATATACGTCTATAGATTATATGGAAAAGTTTATACCTTGGGTAATACCTGTTACTTATACCGGTAAATATAATAAAACAGTGGCGCCCCAATAGACTTTTCATCTCATTGATAAGTTTAAACCCCAAGTACCGATTAAATAGAATTTATAATGAGTTTGTTATTATCGAGATACGGCTTCAACGATATTTTAAGAAATGATTGCTAGACATTGCATTTCAAATGCAATTTTAATAGGTTTATAGCTTCATAATATATGTATCTGATTTCATGATTTATTTATTTCGTAATCAGCTAACAAAAATTATATATAATAACAAACAATTACACTAAAGATATAGCCAGAGATGGAATACATAATATTTAACGACAAAAAGCTTCAAAAATTTACAAAAGGAATACAAACAATAAAAGTTATTCAATACATTTAATAAGAGGTATCTAATTTGGCTGTGTTGTGCGATGGTGTAAAACGCGAAGGTGTGTATGTGGAGTATGCTCATGATGCAGGTGATTTTGCGCTATGGATATTCTTAATACTCCTTTTAACCATATTCCGCGATAGCTTAAACAAGTCAAGGCTTATTGGTCGTTGTAGGTCCGGGCTGCGCGATACAAAACTGAGATTTTATTATTAGAACTAGTTTTAAGCTTACATTAATATAATAAATAGATAGACCCGTTTTCATACGACTAATCAAATCTGGGAGCTGTTATACTATATCTTATTATTTAAATATTGGAAGACCTAATGATATTCGCCGTAATTTATGTATAATTTAACACATTAAATATATTTATAGAATGATTGTTGAAACAAGCAGCACGCTTATTCGGAATAATTGTTGCAATTGCAATTTCATCTTTTTGAATCGGTTTCTTAATGCATCAATGCCACCCAAAAATTGTGGGCCTCCGAAAGGAAAACCTTCCGCCAATCCTCCGTTTAGCGGTACCTAGGCTGACCTACTGGTCTCCTACTACTAGGCCGGCTCGGGTAAGCTTCCCCTTCCCGCCTTCACCGCTGGATCTTAGCCCATGCGCTCAATCGCTCAAATTTCAGCCAACGTAGTCGATGGGCCTTGTATTCGTCTATAATGTTGGGCTGGACTACCAACTCTTCTATTTCGGAAATCGGGCTCTCCATAAACCATCTCTCTCCTTGTCGGCCTTAGGAATTTACGCGTTTCTTTAATTATATTAGAAAACTAGCTGACCTGGCAAACGTCGTTTTGCCATGTATATCATTTATAATAAAAAATAGGGGTTGATCTTAGAGGGATATATCACGACAGTTATTCCTTAGTTCTCGTTACCAAAACTATAAAGGTATTAATGCAGGTTTTAATGTTTCTTTGTCCAATCCATACGACTGAAAAGCTTTCAATAATGTCATCTAATAATAGTTTGATTTCAGGTTGTAACCTAAGAATATCGTATACGCGTACAAAAATTGCGAAGAGAGCTCTGTGGGATGAGAAGATCGACAAAGTGACTTTCTATCAGCACCGACTATATAACCTTACCGGTGCTCGAGTCATTCTCTTACCAAATGGACTTGTTAAACGACGGTAAGTAAAATTATATTATTATTTACTTTGAAGCACATCATTATTACAAATATGATACGAAATCAACATACAGCAGTGGCGCTACAACCTTTTTAGGTCTGGGCCTCAGATTTCTGTTTCTCTTTCATGATAATTTGTTTATCTAATAAGGGGGTGATCAGCCTCCTGTGCCTGACACGCCGTCGACGTTTTCGGTCTAAGGCAAGCCGGTTTCCTCACGATGTTTTCCTTCACCGTTCGAGCGAATGTTAAATGCACATAGAAAGAAATTGCATTGGTGTACAGTTGGGAATCAAACCTACGACCTCACGGATGAGAGTCGCACGCTGAAGCCACTATGCCAACACTGCTCAACGAAATCAACATACTTAACCATTATAGCATCTTAACACTTATTCGATAGAAAATAAATTTAACTTATACTCTGATTTTTGATTCCGTAGAATTCTGACAGCTATCATTTTTTGACATGTCAGAAATTACAAACCTTTTTGGCTAGGCACATTTTTCAATTTGAGTCTAAACATACATTTTACTTGTTAGTGAATGTATATATTTTATTAAGTGCGGTGCTCACATTAAAAGTGATTTTACGGCGAGTGACAATTGCGTATACCTTTTCATCACAAACAAACGTACAAGTAAAGATAATATTTTTTTAAAAAAGGTTTACTAAACCTGGAATTAGTAGGCAGTGATGCCAGCTAAATAATAAAATAAAGTAATTAAGGTTAATGCGATATAATGTTCGTGATATTTAATTATTTATTATTTTTGTATTAGATCACTTGAGTAAGTAAATATTTAAATTTACCTTTTTGTAGCTCAAACATAAAAAAATACGTAGCATTTTATTTTTTATTGACCTCAAATGGGTCAAATTTCAGTGGAGAACTTTGTTAGTAGCAACACTTATGAATTGTCAGAATTCTACGGAATGAAAAATAAGATTATAAACCTTTTTATAATAATAAATCTGACAATAGATTTATTATAATATGCTGGTCATTACTACAATAGTAATAAATGCACTAGTAAGTTGTGTATCTTTCACGAGGTTAGCGCCTGTTGTCAGTACGGTTTCAAATGCCTAGTACATTAAAATCTCTATTACAATAGTAAACAAAATAATTATGAAGTGTCATTTTATATTTCATTCACTCTTTAATAAAGACGTTCAATAGAACCAACCTTTTAAATTATTCAAGTGAAACCAACAATTCAAGGAGCAGGTGAAATGTCAAATTAACTTATTAAACGTGATAGTAATATTATGGACATTTCTTAGGTTGTAATACAAATTCACATTATGTGAACAATACCTAAATTTGTTTCTGTAAATTGCTTAATATAAATCTGTTATAATTAATAAGGGCAGACAGTTATTAAAATATATAGAGTGGACATTGAACACTCAAGTGCTTGATAATGATTAAAATAATTATAATAATTTGTTTTTAATTGTTTTACGTCATATCTATTACGCGCAGATGTTAATCTTATTGTCTTTTTAAGTAAAATTTCGTTAGAAATGTTTTTAAGCTCCCATAATCTCCAAATTAAAGTGACTATTATTTTTTCGTCAGAAATTGACACAGTGTGCTAAAAAATAGTTTGCGGCCTTTATTTGAATACCTTATTTATGAGTTTAACGTCGTCATAGACTAAAGACGAATGAATCGAATTTAATCTGGTTAATGTATACTTTAATAACCAAAAACAAAACTAATTAACAATAGCAGTATTCAGGTTAATTAACTCCATTTTAACTAGCATTATGAATATTTATTATTAAATACATGAACATTTAAGTTTTTATCAGTTTTTAAATTTTTCGACTTCTCGAGGTTCTAGTATTTGCAATCCGTTAACTTCCATACTAAATAAAACAAAATTGTTTAATTGTTTAATTAGCAAGGTAGCAATTGTACTTGGGAAGTACATAATAGCACAAATTACAATTATATATACTATACAAATCACACTATTTTACAAAAATATAGTAGTATCCTAATGTATTTCTAGATAAAATAAACTTTAATTGCAATATTAATGATCCTTGTCATATTTATGATGACTAAAAGTGATGAAAATTTTATTGCCATATATTATTAATAATTTGTATAAGAGTGATTATTCATAATGTAAGTATCCCACAGTAGTTAATAACAGTTCGATTAATCGTTATATATATAGGAATATACTAATATATTATGGAGACCAGTGTTCGGGATTATAAAACCTAAGCAATAGTGTAGATGTTATACGGGTTTAATTTATAAATCATAAAGTCTTCTAAATATATGCACACGTTTGAAATTTATTGAAATACTTATAATTATTACCCCTATATCCCAATGCCCCCTATATACCCCCTATGCCCAAAAAAAATACAAGTGAATATGACGTAACAAATTTAACATTGTATGACATACACATCAATTATATTAGAACATAAGTAATCAATCAAAGGAAAAAAAATTGGTACAGTCAATAAAGTCGGTTTACTGACGATAATTGAAAATGACAACGTCATAAGAAAATACATGGAATGGTTGCATTCGCATTGCGAAGGCCGATTGTGCCTCTTTGTCGCTCGTTCCGCGCTCTTGCTTGCACTTCATGCCTTAAACGGAACGCCTCAGAGCGAGGTAACGCCGCATGAGTCATGTTTTTTCGTGAGTGCAGCCAGCTCCATCGAATTATAAGACGTTGTCACGTCATAAAATAAAACAAATAAACATAAAATAATAACTAAAACGAAAAAGATAAAAAATATCAATAATAACTTAAACTAAATGTTACGCTCCTCCAATAGATGGTTGTTGAAAATTTCATCTCACAGAAAATCCTTGTTAGGCAATTCGTTTAGGATCTCCGCCATTAAGTTGTGGAATAGGCTGCCCGACGTACGATTGGCTACCTTCCTAACATCTTGTAAAACTCTTCTGCATAAAGATTTCTTAACCATATCCTAACCTGCTCAATCGTGGCTTTTGTATTTCCTTTTCTTTTGTATTGCATCGCCATTCATGATTGCGTGAGATTAGGTTTTTAGTTTTTAGCTATATTTTTTGTAATATTTTAGATTAAGGTTATATTTTTTTATAAGATTTGGTTATGCACTATATTTGTATAAATTTAACGAAGTGTAAATAAATATCTAGCGAATAACGTCACATTTCACGGCTATAATACTTTATACGAAATGTACATATTAGACATTATCAAAACCGAAAAATAACTAAGTATACTTTTCACACGTTTTATATTTGCTATAAAGAATGCGAAATGTAAAGTAATGAACGCGAAAATATCATTGTTATAGCACAGAACACATTTAAACTGTGCGGTTCAAGTTAAAACACTTGAGAAAGCTTTGTCAAAACTCGGTCGGTGACCTTCGCTCAAAGGTAAATGAGAACAATTAGTGCAATGACCCAACTGTTCACGTTTCATAGGGAAATACATAGTAAATTATTTTTCCTTCTCACGACATAATAAATTAATAAAAGCAGTCAGGCCGGTATTTTTTATACTAGCCAAATATAATTCCGGACTCTAAGTACTTTTAATTTAGACTTCAATTTTAAAAAGATTACAAGACATTCGCGTTTCGCTGGTTTATGAAATAGTGACCCGAGTTTTTGCCAGTTCTTTTCGTCCGTACTACGCCCATGTTTTGCAATCTTTTTTTATAAGTATGACAAGTTACCGACACGACTTAAATAAAACAAAATATCAGTTAATTCCTACTTAAAAACGCTAGTCTAATCTAAAAATAAAACTTTAAAATCCCGTGATAATTTTACTATTTTGATTAGGTAAATTTAAGTTTTCACAACTTGATATCAAGTTATTGGCTTATTTGAAGGTTATACGGAAGTCGATTAAATAAGTGTGTGAAATAAATTAAGAAAAGATTCCCACATATCGCAACCTTATTATCACATATATAGTAGAAATGTTTATCCTAAAACGTTCTACAAAATATATGCATTAAATCAAACAAATTATTATGCGAGGTAAAACCCGATCGAAATTGAGGAATTATGTGGTTTTATTTAAATATATAAATAATTCGTTTTGGTTAAAATTATAATCATGTTTTCATAATGAACGCACCAGAAATACAAATATTGTAGGATAAGAAGCACTTAATTAAAACATGACACTTGTATGGTTCCCTATTTAACGGGATGCTTTAATTAATAGAGGATATTATTTCACTCTATATTGTATGATCTAATTAATTAAATGTTAAATGCTATGCTGTGCTTATAATGATGAAGAGAGTGCCTACGGCTGGCTATACTCTCGGGACGTAACTCCCGACTGTTAGGTAATTGCCACGGTCATATAACTATGAAAGCCTGGGCAAGCTGCACAGCCTTCCACACACACATGAATAAATACTAGTATATTGCAGCTTAAAACAAGGAATATCTATAAGAACTTCAATCTTTTAAATATCGCTGTATATGTAGCTTAATCTTGTGTGTCATTTAAAGGCAATGGAGCAAAAAATACCCCATATGCATAATACTGAACGAGAAAGAAAAAATTCAAGTGTTAGAGAAAGAGAATTCAATAGAGAAGAAAGTGGCAGAATTGGACAAGAAGAATAAAGAAGCGACGTTAGAGACTGAAAGTACAGAGACAAATACAAGCCCGGAGAGGAAGAAGAAGTTTATTTGGAGGAGAAAAGAAAAGAGGTAAGTTCTGATACATTCAATGTAGTATTTATTTATTAGTAAGTTCTAAAACAACGTGTATGATTTCTAAATATATGTAAGTCTAACTGATCAAGTCAAGGAAGTATAATAGTTAAAGAGAATTTTGTTCAATAATTGTTTATATTTTACAGTATTTCACATGAAACCGAACCGGGATGGGAAGGTCTCAGACATAGATTAGTCAGGAAAATGCATAGAGGTAAATTGTATACAATATTTGTTCTGTTAAATAGTGATATATATTTGCTTAGATAGTTAGAAGAGAGGTCGTAGGTTCAATCCCCGGCTATGCACCAATGGACTTTCTTTCTATGTGCGCTTTTAACATTCGCTCGAACGGTAAAGGAAATAAGAAAATCATCGTGAGGAAACCGACATGTCTTAGACCCAAAAAAAAAGTCGTCGGCGTGTGTCAAACACAGGAGGCTGATCACCTACTTGCCTATTAGATAAAAAATAATGATCATGAAACAGATTCTCAAACAGAAGAGGCCTGAGGCCCAGACCTAAAGAGGTTGTAGCGCCACTGATTTTATTTTTGTATATTTACTTAGAAGGTTCATCTCAGTATCAGACGCAAAAATGGGTCTTATTGGCTATGGGCTTCTTTTTTCTGCAGCTAAACAACGCAAATATCCATTTTAAGTGAAAAACTTGCTTTAATTGTTTCGGATATGATTGGAATTTTCTATTCTCTAGATAAAAAGACGGATAGCGTATCAACCATAACAGATCCAGAGACAAGTGAAAAGCTGGATGATGGTGAGGAACAAACGACAAAATCCATCGCCAGTACAAGGGAGGATGATGATGATATAGATGATAACGAATTGTCCAAAATCAAGGAGCTCCTTGAAGAAACGGTAAATAAATGCAATGATTTTTATATCAACATAAATGTATCTCTCTTCGTAACAGCTGAAACACAATTTGTCAGAAAGAGATGGAAGAGCAACTTGACAAGGAAAAATATCGTACGGGTAGTTACCGTCGTCAAAATACTCCTTTCTGCAAAAGCTGGTTACTGTATGTATATAACAAATTCTTTAGTCATTTAAATTTGAATAAACGTTTTCTGACTTCATATATAGTAATAATCGACTTTACTAGAATTACTGAATTTTTAATAAAAATAGAAAACAGAAAATTAAAAGTATGTTTCTTCTCCTCCAAATAAACTTCTTTCTCTTCAGGCTTGTATTTGTGTCTAACGTCGCTTCTTTACTCTTCTCAAATTCTGATCTTTTCTTCTCTATGGAACTCTCTTTCTCCAACACTTGAATTTTTGAAGTTATACTTCTTTAGGCGCGTAATGATAAATTTGTGAGAGTGAAATTTTACGATGCGCGCGCACCGTGACACAAAATTAACAGAATGAAGTTGCCCACGGAAGATGCTACGGCAGTGGACATAATTTAAAAACAACATTCGAATAATAATAGAATTTATGTTACGCTTAATGTAAGAGAATAATAATAAATATTTATTTATTTAATTTTTCAAATGTAAACTGAACTTTATTGACTATAATGACTCCTTTTCCAGTCTTTGATTATTTAATTGTAATTAATTATTTGCATGCAATCAAAAACTAATTTCAATAATGCCAAAGAAGTATAAGCCAAGGCATATTGCTCACTAAGATTTACGTTCTTTTTCACAGGAGTTGGATCCCGTGGCGGAAGGTACTACGGAAGGGGAATGGAGTGTGCACGTGAAACAATCGAGGGACAAACATTCACATCTCTACCTTTTTGCTAGGACGGGTCGAGACAAACACGAGTGGTGAGAATAATATTCTATAAAAAATTCCATAAACACCTAGGCTTAGCCGTATTCTATAGTCTTGTGTTTATTTTCCTGGACTGTCGTACATTGTAGAGCAGTGGCCTAGTGGCTTCAGCGTGCGGGTCTCATCCCTGAGGTCAGTGTCAGGCACAGGAGGCTGATCACCTACTTAGCCTATTAGATTGACAAATGATCACGAAACATATAAATCTGAGGCCCAGACCTACAAAAGCGCCACTCATTTATTTTTTATTCATAAAAAAATCCAATCGAGCTCCGAATTTACTTTATTAAACTAAAAGTTGGTTCGGATTTCGTCAAAATTCTTTTGAAAACGATCAATGTCCTTTTTTCGTGTACAAACCAAAAAAACACATTTTGTTAGAAATAACTATTGGAAATAAGTGTATACAAAGTAAATTTTGTTCTGTTATCCTTGGAATGTCCATAAGAAATATTCACAAAATTCTAACGGAGATTAACTGAATTACGAAGCCTTACTAAGCCCCTATACTTCCCTGGGTGTGTGTATAATGTCTATTATATCATACAAGAGGGAAGAGGGAGGGGCGTACCCTGGGCCCTAGGAACTCGCATTACAAATATTTTCATAGATGATATTAGTAGATATTTACAGTTTATAAATACGATCTAAATCAGTATTATTAGTACAGTGTATACAAACTTGTGTATACGGTCTTATTCTAAAAAAAATAACCGTCGCGGACTTTGATCTTGTATACATAATTATATATGCAGTGTAAACTAGAACGAAAAACTGTCTATAACAAAAAAATTGTTAAATTTATTTGGTGAACCAATACCCAATGCCCAAGCATTAATTCTTCCCTCTCTATAACGAATAAAACTGCTCGGTCTCTTGAGATTCGTTATAAAGAGTAATATAAAACTCTGTTTCAGGTATCGACGTTTTATGATATCGATAAGCGAAGCGAGCGCGTCAGCGGATACGTCATCCAACGAAGACAAATCTACGAATGATCCCCAAGAAGGAAAAGAGGGGATTGAATTAGCCGTTTATAAGCTTAGCGAAAAAGAAACTGTCGCTTTTGGCAAGGTATATTTTAAAATAAAGTAGTTGAATAAAACATTTTTAACATAATATCATAATTATTAATTTAAAAATAAACTAATGCAAGTATCTTATCGTTTCGCATAACTCGGACGATTTTTTAATAATATATAGAATACTAGCTGACCTGGCAAACGTCGTTTTGCCATGTATATCATTTATAATAAAAAAATAGGGGTTGATCGTAGAAAATTAGGGGTTGTATGTATTTTTTAAAAATCTAAAAATTAAAAAAAAATTAGGGTCGGACTACGCTTAACATTTAGGGGGATGAAAAATATATGCTGTCCGATTCTCAGCATATTGGGTATATGCTCACAAAATTTCATTAGAATCGGTCAAGCCGTTTCGGAGGAGTTTAACTACCAACACCGCGACTCGATAATTTTATATATTAGATTGTGTGTGCCGCTATGCTTTCTATAATACCTAACCCCTTAATCTACTATAAAGTATTTGCCTCAAAGGGATACACACGGTTTGAAAGTAAACTGACATTTAAACAAAAATTCTTGCTCCATATTTATACCATGCAATTCGATTCTAAATATTTCAGATTTCTTTAAAAAATCCACTTAAATTTTATGAACAATAAATTTCGCTGTTGGAGCTTAAAATGCTATAATTTCTATGCCTAAATCTGTTTGTAATAATTTAATTACAGACTAAAATGAATGAATCGACATCAGATGTAATAAATATAACGTCAGCCATACATCCTTTACCCGTCAGCTTAGATTCCTATGAGAAGACATTTTGGCCATATATTATTAAAATTATGCAGGTAAGACAAATAACTTCAGTTTTTAGCTTATATTTAGATAAATCTGAAAGGATTTCAGGCTTTTTTTAATATTTTTGTTTCTTAAAAGTAATAACTACGATTTCTAATTATTATTAATCTATTAATAAATCTACTTCAATATATTTAAAGATAATACGAGAGTCAGAAAAGCGTCTAAATGTGATGTGACAGAGATGTTTCATGCCATTTTGAACCTTTGCCTAAGCATAAATAATCAAATACAGCATTCCCAAGGTCTAAAATCAGCATAATTTTCCAAATTCCTTCTGCAAAAACCAACCTCAAGGAGTTCAGGCACCTATCTTTCGAATTCTTCGCGATTATAACGGATTAAACAGTACTTATTATATTATTGGGGCTGATTGATTAGTTTTAAGAAGGCGTTGTTAAGTGCCTATCTCGTACCTAATCTGCTGTTTTGCTGGTAATTTTTTTTTCTGCTTAATAAAAAATTCTGGTATTTTTATTTTGTTGTAACATTTCTGTTTACCTAAATTGTCATACATTTCAGACAAAACAGTTGGTAACATTTACTATAGATATAGTATGATGTGGTAAACTTTAGTTAATAAATAAATAAGCATATAAGGTTCATTTGAGGTCTCTTAAAAACTGTTCAATATTTGACACCCGTTGTTGTTTAAAGACCTTCAAAGCCTCATAAGTCATGGAAAGCGCAAATATACCTGACATTTTAGTGTCTAATTGATCTTGCGAGGTGATCAGTAGTGCTTACCATCCTAAATGACTTTTACTATAATTCGAACCTAGAGCTATACGCAACATCAGAAAAATATTCTAGGACTTAATATATAAACACTATCTTTTAACTAATTTATCATCATAGACGCATCAAGTTATCACGAAACAAACATCAGATGTCGGCGTTATGTGTCAATTAGAGCCTTCGCCCCACGAGCGGAATAAAAAAAAGAAGAGAAAAGATGTTAGCGGTTTTATTTTGTTTTAGTTCTGTGACGTACGCTTTTGTTTACGTGTGGGACGTGTACGTTTGGGTTGTACGCAAAATTCTTACTTTTAAATTAATATAATTTAACTTATATATTGTGTTGCTTATATTGAAATTTAAATGTATTATAGTTTTTTTTTTTTCCATTTTCGCTTATTGTATTTATAAAATGTCAAGTGCGGGTGCCCCTTTTTGGACTTTTTGATCTTTTCTTTACCAAGACTTTGACAAACTAACTAACGACTTGTATGAAAAATATTTTGGGATATTTTAGCAATTTTAACGGGTTAATTGTGTTTTAGAGTCGTTTTAGACTAAAATATATAATATATTTGTGTTGGGAGTATTTATGTTGCTTTTACAAGTTTTTAAAGCTTTAATTTGTATTTTTATTGTAGTTTTAATGACTTAATATTACATAGTAGTTCAATCTTTAGTTGTTTGAATCACAGTACCTTATACGAACTTAATAATACTGTTTTACTCTCTCAGTCCCAGCAGTCAACATCTGATTGCGAGTGCCGAACCCTTCCTGCGGAAGTGACATGGGTGAACACGATGCTTGCTCGCATCATGTATGATATGATGCGAGATCCCGTACTCATTGCGAGACTGCAGAATAAGATTCAAAGGAAATTGAATACGCTTAAGGTAGGGTTTAGGGTGTAAGGATAAATAATATGTGCCATTAAAGTCTTTAACTGAATAGGTATTGATATTTTTTTGTTTATACAAATATGATTGGAATTGCTTAAGCTACCTACGGTTTCCTAGAAAAGCGGTGCCGTTATCTAACGTCCGTAATGTAACGTTGGGTGACGTCACCCATACGTTGTCTATAAATAACATCGGAGTAGGTTTTCTAGAGAACGTTGAGTGTCACCGTATCGTCAAATAGCGGTGCTGTCATTTGCACGACGGCCGTCATAGCGGTGATAAACAGTTGTTCAACGTCTTTCGCATGTAGCGGTGCGCATATTTAATTTATACAATGACTTGGATGAGCGAAAATGATGAACAACTAACTGATTTTGTTAAAAATCATGAAGCTTTGTACAATATCAAATCCAAAGAGTACAGACAACCTGATGAAGATGAACCTGACTGACAGATGAAGCAAAATTTGTGGAACGAAATTGGAATAACACTTCAAAAATACGGTCGCACTACTTTCTAGGAAACCACAGCTTGGCCACCGTAAAGACGGCCGTTATTAACAACCGTAAAATGACGGCCGTTAGTTAACGGCACCGCTTTTCTAGGAAACCGTAGCTTTACGGGGCTCTGAATTAGTATAAGGAAAAGTGGAATTTTGTTTTTTTTCACCTCCATTTATAATGAATACAAATAATTGTTAATTGTGTTCCGGTTTGGATTTTATGTATTGTGAAATTTTAATAACAAGCTGTAGGAATAGTAAAAATCAAATAGATACATATTTTTTTGTTGCATCATTTCATGTGAACGTACATCTTCTTTTCCAGCTGCCATCATTCATGTCACCCCTCCTAGTGACAAAATTGTCACTGTCGGGCGCGTGTCCGTTAGTCTGCGGCGTACAACCGCCCTCTTGTGACGCACGCGGCGTGTGGCTAGACGCACACTTGCGGTACGATGGCGGTGCATACATCGCCATACTTACGCAAATCAACCTCATGAAGCTGAAAGAGAAAAGTGAGTGTTGCATCGTATTATGACGATATGGTTCTGGGTTTTGGATATGAGTGTGAGCGAGACGGCATGTAGTATACCTTTTTCGCTCTTTTGTGCCTTTTAGAGACTGAGTATAGATTTGTACTGATTATATGAGACCGTTATTTTTTTATTAATTAATGGATATGTTAACGTAAAATTGTAAAAACCGTTAGATTGTAATCTATCTCGCGATCTTATAAACTGTCGAAAGATTGTGAACTCAACGTACTGCTTACAATTTAACGTATTATTATTCGGTAGATTGTAATCTATCGAAGTGAAACCGTCAAATTGTGAAACGGTTATTTTCTACTTTTCTATTGGTTATAAGAGATGTGACATTCTCGGTAAATTAATCGAATCGATTATTTCCTCATTTGTTAATTTTAAAGTTGAACCTAATCGAATCGATTATTTCCTCATTTGTTAATTTTAAAGTTGAACCTAATCGAATCGATTATTTCCTCATTTGTTAATTTTAAATTTAAACCTAATTTAACCATTATTTGTCAAATGTACATACATTACATTAACTTCATGTTTCAGTTAGTGTAGGGTTCCGAAAATTTTGAAATTATTCAAAACTAATCTATTTTTTAAAAGTGAAAATCGATTTTTGTAATCGATTTCGAGTTTCAGTTGAACAGTTATTTTAAAAAAAATATTAATAAACTAACCTAACCTAACCGAATAATAATACATTTTTTGGACAGCTCCGGCGCTACGGGAAATGCAGCCCCTCCACCCTTGCGTACCAAAGCACAGGCAATTTATTCAAGCCTCCTCTTCCTCCGCGCCTCCGATTTTTTATATACACTCTAGGGGTAGGGCAGACAAGACCACGTGGATAGTGGGGTGCTCTGATTCGGTTTTGGGTACTTTTTGTTTTGTACACTTATAACAAATAGAAAACGAGAATGTCACATCTCTTATAATAAATAGAAAAGTAGAAAATGGCCGTTTCACAATTTGACGGTTTCACTTCGATAGATTACAATCTACCGAATAATAATACGTTAAATTGTAAGCAGTACGTTGAGTTCACAATCTTTCGACAGTTTATAATCTCGCGAGATAGATTACAATCTAACGGTGTTTACAATTTTACGGTGACAGATATATTTATACGTAAAAACTTTTGTAGAGATTTCGACTTGCATGTATAAATACGGACTTTTGCACGCCTCATTAGCGGAGCGGAGGCAGTGCTCTACTCTCGACATGTCAAAAAACCCAGTCTTTCGAAACTTGAATGACTTTTCTCACTAATATAACACTTACAGGATAATATGAGTGCACTAAATTCGAGTTAAGTAATCTATCAAGCAGATATGGTATTTTTTATGAACAATTATTTTGTTTAACATAGTAAATAATAACATTAAAATTAATCATTCTTGGACGTCCGTCAGTCTGTGTTTATGGATCCATGTATGTGGCAGAGAAATTGGTCGAAAAATTTATCGTACCAGAATACTTTTTTTCTTATTATATAAAGTTATACCCTGGGCTGATTCCTAGTTAATATTAGCGTTCTAAGTGCTGTCGTTTAATTATAATTTGTAAAAACCTAAAATACGACTGTGTATTTGTATATCTATAAATACATTTATTTTAGTATATTTTTACCTCACCTTAGCGTTATGGCGCCAATATATATTTTTTTATTATATTATTGTTTTTTTTTCAATCATTAATATATCTATATGCAAGAGTATGTGGGAAATCAAGATTCGCGCATGCGCTACGTAAATTTCGTTTTATAAAATAGCGTGAGACTACAGATAATAATTTATTTGTCATTTTGTTTTAAAAAACTTGAGTTTTGTTTTAGATTTTTTTTTTAAATGTGAATGACCGCTATGAGGTATACTTTTTTGTAACTTATTTTAACTACTACTACTACTCGTCTCGCTCTACGACCCGAAAGGGGTCTTGGCGTCCAAAACTTGAAACTACCAGAGTTCCCTGTCCTATGCCATCAGAATTGAAAAATAACCTACAAAATTTTTTTTGAAACTTAAGGTTACAATTCTTTTTTCAGATATGACATTAGAAGAGCAATTAATGGAAACTCAAGAGCCGGTCGTCGAAAGGGAGCTGAGTGCATCTCCCACTCTACGTGCTACTAGCCCTGAGCTGCGGGTAATTTTTTTTATTTAAACTAACTTGTAACAGCAAATGTTTATCTGTTTGAACTATACAAATGATAAATATTAAAAGATTCTCCTATTTTTAGGGTCTGTTTCACAATGTACGGATAAGTTCTACATAAGTTCCAAATTAGCTACTTATTACTTATTGGTAGGATAAACACTATTGTTGCGTTTCACGACTGTCAGATAGAGCTATTCGTCACATAAAGTCCATCAAAAGTTATGAGTCCGATGAAGTGTCAAATAGCACAATTTATCTTCCAAATAATTTATGTGTTGCATAGCTATTTGGTACTTTATCCCTGAAACAGACCCTTAAAATAATTGCCCAGACAAGCAGCTGACACGCGCATTTTTTGACATTTTTTAATTTGGCGGTTGACACTTGATTAATTGTTCGGATGTTCCAATAATTTTCTTACGAAACCTCATTGTATTTTGAACGACAGATTTAGTAATATGCTTGTAAATGTGTGTCAAAGAGATGAATGACAGTTTCTTTTTCGTTTGAAACTGATTATGATTTGGAAAAGATAAATACACATAATTTACGCATACACACATATGGTTTCTTTATATGTGTATTCCTATAAGTATTGCAATAATGATTGTTTATTCTCACTAGACTTTTCTCTACTATATATTGTATAAGGCCTTCTGTCGATCCGAAGTGGTGGAGGCCTGATGACCTGCAACATAGGTACTCTTACCTTTAGCAGGCATCAGTCTCACCCAAACTAGCTTTTTCCCTAAACAGAAGTAAGACAATTATTTATTTATAATAGTACTAGTGGACCCCACAGACGTTGTCCTGCATGATATTTAAAGCGATTAGGATATTAAGCAAAGTATGAAAGTACCGACTGCAGTGCCATCTGCCGGGCTGATTTGTGAATCTAAACCATTCCCAGATCCCCTTGAACACACACAAAAAATTTCATCAAAATCGGTCCAGTCGTTTGAGAGAAGTTCAGTGACATACACACTCACAGAAGAATTATATATATATATTAGATAACTGTCACTTGCATAGTCCTAAGTTTTTGTGAGAAATAAATAAATAAATTTGCCAAACATCGAACTTTGATGGTTTCAGATCGAACCTAGGAGTATATAAACGATAAGTAACCAATACAATTATAAAATGATGACGATTTTATTTGATGTTCAAAGGTGCCATTTTAGGTGGTCTAATTGAAATAAATGATTTGACTTTAATTTGACTGTCATTTACAGAAACGAAAACCTGCGATTTACGATTCGGAAGTGGAGGACTCAGCCGAGTCTTCGAGTGATGATGAAACCCCACCCGTACAGCCTGTCGATAGTGCTGAAAATATCGTTTTGGCAGATACAGCACCGTAAGTAAATTTAAAAAAACTACGGTTTGCACTCCGGGAGTGCCGGCAGAAGTGAAAACTTGAACGTTGTGCCTTTTTTGATATTTTGGAATGGTTAGGGAATAATTTTGCACGAATTGCTGTAATTATCAGTATAAAAGTACAATAATTTATGTGGTAGAATACAATATTTATTTGTTGCGCTATCATACACAAACATGACAATTTATATTACATTAAATACTAGAAAAGAGAAGAAACAAAAATATATTTTGAGTGATTCTACCATGCAGCTTATAAATAAAAGAAAAAGTCTAATTGCGAACAAAAACGGCAAACGGAATCTGAGAGAAATAGCCGAAATAAGTAAGGGAATAAGGAAAGGCATACGCAGGGACAGGAAAACAAGGAGAATACAAACACTCGAAAAACACATCATTGAATCAGGCGGAACCAAAAAAGCTCTTAAAGAACTTCGTGAAGCGACTCCTTGGGTACCTAATCTCAAAAGAAATCAAATTAACATCACGAACCGCAAAACTATAGTAAAGACAGCATCAGATTTTTACAAAAATCTATACTCCAACCCAGCTATCGCAGGAAACGAACAGTGCAACAACTACAAAACGACGATATACCCTTCAAACTTAGAACCAGATATATTACAAAGTGAAGTCAGGAAAGCTATATTAAGCCAAAAGTCAGATAAGGCACCAGGTCCAGACAAGATCACGAACGGATTACTGAAAGGAACGCTAAAAGAACTGGTGCCCATTCTGACGAAAATCTTTAACGACATCCTAACATCAGAACAGATTCCTGAACAATGGCAAACCTCGCACATAAATAAGCCTGATGTCAAACATATATAAGGTTTTCTCCAAGATATTACTAGATCGATTAAGCACCACATTAGACGAGAGCCAACCAATGGAACAGGCCGGATTTAGGAAAAACTTCGCAACGATAGATCATATACACACAGTCAAACAAATCATAGAAAAATACAGTGAATATAACAAAACAGTGTATATGGCTTTTATAGATTACACCAAAGCTTTTGACAGCATCAAACATGAAGTGATTTGGGAAAGCTTAGAAAACCAAGGAGTATCCGGGGCCTATATAAACATCATAAAACAAATATATGCTAACTGCAATGCAAGAATACAAATGGAAACACTCGAAAAGACATTTAAAATCGAAAGAGGTGTCAGACAAGGGGACCCATTATCTCCCAAGCTATTTTCTGCTGTGCTTGAAAACATATTCCGAAAACTAGAATGGAATGAATTTGGACTAAATATAGATGGGAGAAAACTACATCATCTTCGATTTGCAGACGACATTGTATTGTTCGAAGAGAACCCTCATAAACTTGGAGAAATGATACAAGACTTAAACGAAGAAAGTGAGAAAGTAGGCCTGAAAATGAACACAAGCAAAACAAAGCTACTATCAAATTCAGTCCCATACGAAATAAAACTTAATAATCAACCTCTAGAATACGTTGAAGAGTACATTTATCTGGGGCAAATTATCTCTCTAACTGATATAACCACCAAAGAGATCAAAAGAAGAATAGCAAATGGATGGAAAAGATATTGGTCACTGAGGGAGATCATGAAAACAACAGATTTCAGCAAAAAAATAAAGAGAAAAGTCTTTAACACATGTATCCTACCCTGCCTTACCTATGGCTGCGAAACTTGGGCACTATCTAACCAGCACAGGGATATGTTAGCACACTGCCAAAGAGCCATGGAAAGAAGCATGCTGAGCATAAGAAAATTAGATAAACAAATAAACTCAGACATAAGAGCTAGAACAGGTGTGACAGACATTCTCACTAAGATTGACCAAATGAAATGGAGATGGACGGGTCATATGCTACGGAGCCCTCATGAAAAATGGAGCAAAATTGTGACGGAATGGTACCCTAGAGACGGAAAACGAAGAAGAGGTCGACCACGCAAGAGATGGGAGGACGAACTGAAACTAACAGCAGGCTACAACTGGAGAAGAGTCGCAAAAGATAGAGAACAGTGGAAAGGGTTAGAGGAGGCCTTTGCCAAGAGGCAAACCGAACTCCGAGATATACTGGAGTGAAAATATATTAAAGTTCAGATATATAAAATGACAGAGTTTCGGAATTTAAAGGCTATATTATTATTATTATTTTAAATACGCCGCGCCAGCTGTCTACTCTCCATCCGTCTTACGAATTTTCGATCAGGTCACGTGTCCTGACGCGAGTTTAACATTTTTTACCCATTCCAAAAAAAGTGTACAACGTCCTTAAAGAAGTTTTCACTTCAATAAGCGTAATTCGTCCAACTTTGGTATTGTTTGGAGTGGACCTTTGATGCGTGAGAATCAAGTAGAGTAATTTAAAGGTTTAAGTTGGCGCGTGATTCCAGAGCTGGTACTTTTCTCGTTCATTTTTTTTAAATTCTTTTTGCAAACTAAGAGTACAAGAATACCAAAAAGTCACCAACCTTTGCGCTTAAAGGGCTACACTACAAATTCCTTTACGTAGAAACAAAACTTATAGAGTAAAGAGAAAAAAATCGAAAAGCAAAGGAGAAATGCTGCCAGCATTAGAGGTACACTGCCACAGGGACCAAAAATCTTGTAACATAAATCCAGTCCCACATAGTTTTGTACATATTAAGGGAATAATAAAATTTACGGAAATGTGAGGGTCTTTCTGACTCGACTATATCTATAATTCAAGTCTTAGAACAATAAAAACTTCTTGTAGCTTTTCTAATATGTTGCACCAAGTTAATTTATCAATTTCTTCCCAATGGACCCCCCTTACATTCTTTGTTTTGCTATTGTAATGTAAATAAAGTGTTCTTATTATATTCTTAGTTTTGATGCCATTATTTTTACCATTAAACTTTATTGACGTAATATTTTTTCATTTCCAGAACCGTTTACACAACTGAAGGAGGTTCGTCCAAAAAGAAATTCCTCAGAATAGTCGACAAAATAGCTACCAACAAATATTTCCAACAGGTACAATTTTTTAAATATTTTATTAATACTGTATATAGTTTACTTAACTTAGTTAGTTAACCGACTACAACAAAAACCAAAGGAGGAAGTTATCATTTGACATGTAATTTTCTATTTTAATTTTTCTAGTTTAAATTAAATGTCATAAGTATCGCCTCATATCACATTAGTGGTGAATGAAGAATATTCTTTGGGAATAATTAAATAAATGTTTCAATATCATATAGTACATGAACCTCATGTAATACAAGATTTTTAATTTCAGGTAACTGACTACAAGTACGTGAAGCGAGCTATGGAAGGTCTATCGAACACTGACATAAAGCTTCAGCTGGAAGTGAGCGGACTCGAAGGTCGTTTGGCTGTGAACCTTCCACCTCCACCTCACGATAGACTATGGATCGGGTAATTGTTTTTTTACTTAACTTATGCAATTTTTATTAAAAAAAATACAGTGTTTACATGATTTCATGCATGCATGAGCAGTGTTGGCCTAGTGGCTTCAGCGTGCGACTCTCATCCCTGAGGTCGTTGGTTCGATCCCCGGCTGTGCGCATTTAACATTCGCTCGAACGGTGAAGGAAAACATCGCGAGAAAACCGGCTTGCCTTAGACCCCAAAAGTCAACGGCGTGAGTCAGGGACAGAAGGCTAATCACCTACTTGCCTATTAGATTATCAAACGATCATGAAACGGATATAGAAATCTGAGGCTCTGACCTGAAAAAAGTTGCAGCACCATTGTTTTTTTTAAATGAGTTCAAAGTTCTGTGCATAATCTAAATAGATATTAATCCTTTGCCTCAAACTTATTGTTCGCAGTAGCAGTTTAAAAAAATATTATTTCGATATTACAAGAAATATTTGCTCTATAGAAAAATTTGTTGCAATAATCTACCGCAAATTTATAGTTTGTAAATGCTTCCTACTAAACATGATTGATTTTTGCTCGTAGATTGTCTGAAATAGCTTATATCAAAAGTCATCTGTTGCATTCCTTATTTTAATGTCAGTAAAAAAAAACTTGTACTGTTATTATCTATATTTAAATTTGTTTTTGTTACCGCCATTGTAGATTTATTGGGTGTCAGCAATAAAGGCTTAATAATAATAATAATAACACATTCCACGTGTTTAGGTAGAACCAACCCTAAAGATCTCTTGTGTTCAGTGAGCGCTATTACGATTCGAGTATCGAAATGTCATACTAACGCCATCTATTGCCGCGATTTTTCATATAATTATTGGAGACCATTCCTTACCAACGCTCGACATATTCCACGTTTCTCGTTCAGTTTCCGGTCCAAATGGAGGCTGGGGGGCCTCATAGCCTAGCGGTCTTATTAAGTGGCAGCTAGGTGAGGGGTACCGGGTTCGATTCTGGTTCGAGGGCAAGTTTTAATTTAATTTTGTTCTCGGCCTTTGGGAGGGTTGTGCGGTACCGGGCGAGTGCTTAAACCGTACATGGAGGACACGGTCGAATTTCTAAAGGCAAGCACGAATTATAAAAATCCTATACTTGACGCTGGCTAATGCACAAATCGTGCCAGAGCCATTAAAAATAAATAAATTGTGCGTGTACTAGGTGTACACACGTAAGAAGTGAAACTTCTTGATGATCTTATTTTTCGAAAAATGATCTACTATATGCAACTTTACAGAAATTCGTTAAATTAGATAAAGTTTAACAAAAAGCTTTTATTATCATAGACATGAATACAAATATTTCATTTTACCTTATTACTACGAACATTATTATAGAATTTCATTAATTGTAATAGAATTATTACTATCATTGAAAAACGTGACGATTTGCTACAAAATTTCTCCTATACGTCGATAAAGAAGTTTCATTCCAACGCCGATAAAGAAGTTTGACTTCAAAAAGCAACATGGCGCGTAACGAAAAAATGTTACACTAAATTTTTTTCCAACCTCGATAGAGAAGTTTCACTTCAATAAATAGAGGCTGTACTTATTGTATTTTTTTTTTACATTAACTAAAGCTAGATTAATTACTATTTGTGAATGCCGATGAGTTTCTGAACCTGCATGGCAGTTCCTGTAGACTTTCTTAATTAATATTTTTTTTTTTTCTTTCAGATTCCGTACAAATCCCCAACTAGTATTAAAAGCCCGACCAGCGTTCGGCGCTAGATCACTTCGGTTTACCCACATAACTAATTGGATTGAACAAAAACTAACCAAGGAGTTTGAGAAAGTGCTAGTTCTACCCAATATGGAGGATTTCATTATAGACGTCATGACACCAACGCCCGTTGAATTCGAATGAGGTTGTCCATATTTGTTACTTGGTAAACATTAGTTTAAAGATTTGTGTGTCATGCTCAACCACAATTTGATTGGTTTATAGTTATAACACTTTAATAAAAAATCTGGGCTTACACGAGTCGTAAATAATAATATAGAAACGGGGTGATATACATTTAGTGTGAAAATTTGGTGTTTCGTGTTACAAAATATATCTTTTATTTACGGGAGTATGTAATGATTTAGTTGTTGTCTATGGTGTTTTAAAACGTTTTTCTTATTGCATTTGCGCAACAGTATTTAATATTTATTTAATTGTATATAGTATTAGATATGTCACTGTAAAATTGTAAATAACGTCACAATGATTCGTGATATTCTTATGGCGCTTCTAAACGGGACATGTTTTGCTGTAATTGATGACTGCAACACTGTGGCCCGGCAACATTGCAAACAATAGCAGCCACAATATGCAATATTGCAGTAATGTCCCGGCCATATAGCCAAACATGTTTTATATACATATGGCCACATATGGCCGATGTTGCCCCGATGAGTTGCCGGACGATCGCTAGGCTATCGAATTCAACTGCAATATTGCACAGCCAGTTCTATTGTTGTCACTCTCTTTGTTATGGCACAGTGTATCCTTTTCTACGCGACATGAAGTTTGCTATGAGTGAAGTGTGCCTGTTGCTATATTCTGTGTTTTGCGGTCAGCTGATTTTGACGTTAGGTTACTACGTAAAAATGACTGCTTTTGACATTCTAGTAGAGTTCTTGAATAATTTATCCAAAAAGTCTTTTTTTACCCCCCCGTCAAATTGAGTCAACTACAGTTTCACGCCTATTTAAGTAAGGTCGAATCCACAATCTCTGATTCTGTTTCTTTTTTAAAGCAATATAAGCTGCTGCGACAAGTGTGATTTCGTCAGCCATTGTGGCCGGTTTGTGTAGCCCGTTTAGGAGTCTGCATCATGGGCCATACTATTGCAGACATATTGCAACACATTGCCCAGCCATAGATTGTTCGGCCATCAGCTGCATTCAAATATTTTTGTAATGGCCGGGCAAGTAGTTGCCAACAGTGCAGCCATCAATTGCAGCAAAACATGGCCGTTTAGAAGCGCCATTACAACAACTTATTTTTCGATAGTTTCAACCCAAGATTTTTTTTTGATCGCAATTTTTTTTAAATATCGCGAGGCTTTGGTATTTATAGTTGTATAGTGACAGATGTATGTAAAATATATTTACCAATTCCAGAACCATATCTACATAGAAATTATATTTATTATATTCGATAGAGATATAGAATAAAATTCATATTTATGTGAAAACGAAAGTATAACTCACTCATTATCAAAAGTAAATGACCCGATTCGAGCTTCCCTAATTTATCGACAATAATTCCAAATTTATATTTTACATATTTAATAAAATATCTAAAAACTTTTCGAGAAATTCAAGGAGATAAAATGTTTAATGAACTTAATAGTTAATATCATTCAAATATTTTATAAATTTAACCCAACATTTTAAGTAGAAATATTCTAAATATTTTATTAGTTGAGTAAGAGAGTGAGATATGTAAACGGTATGAAAATAGCACGAAAATAGCCAATATGTAAATTTCACCTTATAAACAGCTGGTAGTTATGAGTTCAATGACCTTTCAGGTGAATGACCCCAACTTTGCATTCATTTTTATAAGAATTTATTCATCAGTATTTCTGTAGCGAGTTATTATAATAGTAGAAAAAAATTCTTGCAATTTGTGTCTGAAAATTTTTCGAATTTTAAAATCTAGTTTTTTAATTAAAATAAACATTATTTTCCAAAAATAAGCATTCGTGCCAAGTATCTCGTTATCATTATTAAAAGGTATTTCTGGTCGCACAATATATTTAACGTTTAGGCCAAATTTACTTATTTTTTATATAATGAATGCAAAAAGTTCTTGTGCGAAATTGTTATTGAAAGGCTGACTGATGGTTGCTTATAAGCTGTCACATCGAATTTTATAGTTTTTGTTAATGCGGCACGAATGCCAAGTAATCTGCTCCTTATCTACTATGCACTGTAGAAATTAAGGTGCAAGTTTCCTTTGCTTCGAAATTATTGATTTAATTACGCAAATTTTATAAGGCATAATGGCAATAATAACAGAATCTTTAGTATCAAAATATAGTTAAGCTATGCCGCTAATCTGGTTCGTGGGACAAAAATTAAACCTTATGAGCAATGCCATAGAGATCAAATTATACTTGCACTCTCCGGAAGAATGGGCCTAATTGGTTCCTTAGTCTTTTTTGTCGTCGTCTTTCGCATTTGATGAGTATTCCCTTAAATCTAGACTTACGTTATGCTTTATTGATTCGTTTTGTTATACGCCTATTTCTATATATGTGTATTTGCCTAAATTTTGTTTTATATACACGATTTTTATTTGTATTGCCCGATTTTTGTACTAACTGCAATACATAACTTGTAAAGTTAAATGTTTCTATAAATTTGTTTTCAAACGAGCCAAAATATTCCGATCCATTGTAATTTATGAGTGACGTTTTGTAAGAATATTTTGGAACTCGAAGGATGATTTTACGTTTTTTATGCTGTGAAGTTATCTATTTCATAATTATAACTGTAATATTGAAATTTTTATGTAAATATTTAAAATTATAAGTGTTTATGTGATATTATGTATAGTTAAGAGTTAAACCGTGCCGAGTAGTTTTTCTATGTGGTATCAGTTGTGATTATTTTCAATAAATAAAAAGCTATATTAAAATTGTTTATTATTGTTCCTTTAAAGTTTAAACCATAGATATAACTAAGATTCCTATCAGCGAGGGGGAAGGCCCTTTAAAAAAAAATTGTGCGTGTACTAGGTGTACACACGTAAGAAGTGAAACTTCTTTATGATCTTATTTTTCGAAAAATGATCTACTATATGGCACTTTACAGAAATTCATTAAATTAGATAAAGTTTAACAAAAGGCTTTTATTATCATAGACATGAATACAAATACTTCATTTTACCTTATTACTACGAAGATTATTATAGAATTTCATTAATTGTAATAGAATTATTACTATCATTGAAAAACGTGACGATTTGCTACAAAATTTCTCCCATACGTCGATAAAGAAGTTTCATTCCAACGCCGATAATGAAGCGTGCCTTGCTTTTCAAAAAGCAACATGGCGCGTAACCGAAAAATGTGACGCGTAACGAAAAAATGTTACACTAAATTTTTTTCCAACCTCGATAAAGAAGTTTCACTTCAATAACGTAACTATTATAGTAGTTAAAAACAATTCAAAATGTCACAAGCAGGTGAGTTATGAGAAAAGCAATAAAATAAAGGACCATTTGGACAGAAACTTCTCGATGTGCATAACTGTAAGTATATTTATTTATAGCCGCGCCACACAACAAAAAAACAGAAAAAAAAAGAAACAACTATATAACTGATTAATTTTTCTAACCTTTGAAAATGAAACAATAAATTATTTTTACTTTTTTATTTTTAACGTCTCGTACTATGATAATTATATTAAATGTACAACATCGTATTTACAATAGGCACTTGGAAATATACATCTATATCACATCAAAATCATGTAACTAACACATTTTTATAAAACATATAGGTACAAATATATTATAAAATATATAAGATTCTAAATATTTATATTTTATAGGTTCTGCTTGGAAGCACAAAATTTACATTCAGTATACGAGTTTCTCATGTATAGGCGCTATCGAGACCTTATAAATGCTCTTGTTTTTAAAATTTACTACATTTTATAAATAGAGTGTTATATTAAAAGTATTACACAAGCCATCATCATTAAATACGCAGATATCCTTTTCTTCTGTTCTTTCCTTCTATGTTCTACGCTATTCTGAATATGTTACGGAGAAACCTTCGAAATTGTACAATTAGTAGCCATAAGTAATAGAATATAGAAACAATATCTTTTGTATGGAAATCTAGAACAGCGATTACTCATTTCTGCGTATCTAACGATTTGTCTGCCGCGATAGTTTACATAGATATTTTTTTATTTATTTATATAACTATAGGAAGTTCAAACGTTGGGTTTACAATGAATATAAAAATACATGTACAATATATACATATTGAGATCAATCTTAAAAATAAATCTTACATTTGGCACTGTGGACCACATTTCTTTACAAATATTTACAATTGCATTTTACAAGCTAGTTATGGCAAGCGGGTACTTATATAGTGTTGATTAACTCTGAGATAAATTCTTCCCACTTATCTAACAATATACATTTTCAATATTGCAACGATCCATTCAAATGTAACATAGTCGCACTTTGCATAAGATTTTTCAGACGTATCAGTCAACGAAATAATGGTTGAATAAATTTTTTTTTAATCCTATCACGAACATTATTCATTTAGATCGAGTTGGTAATATAAAGTATTGAAACATTCCTCTTAGGTTATCGTAGAATCTTGGACCTGCAGATTCAATACATGTTCATTAAATAAACATGAGAAGCTCTTAGACGTCTGTATTATGTATGTAGCGATACATTAATCTTTTAAAACCTTTACATGGCAACCCAACATACAGTGTTACCATCCTAAAACTTTACCAAAACCTAATGCTGCAACAAACAATGCGCGGTACCTTCTGCATTACGTCTCTTTGCCAATTCTTTCCATTCGTGTGCTCTCGGCGCGCAGACCAAATGATATCTCCCGAGAGCTCTTCTAGCCATTATAAGGAATTCTCCCGAACCGGCGCCGGCTTCGCAACGTGAAGCGACGTGAACGTGTGCGTGAAGGCTTCGGGGGTGTCGCCTACGACCGGTGCCTATTGTATTGTCGATTTCATATCTGAAAACAAATATAATTGTTTATAAGCAGAGGTAATAAAAAAGAACGGAGCAAAATTTGTTAGTAATTGGTTATGGAGTCAAGAGGTCGAAATGCGAAATGAAACTAACTTATTTTTTTAAATATAAATTATTAGTTTCCTAATTGATATTTGAATTATTTGCGACTACGTTTGATTATTGCTCTTACATATTCTAAATAAACGTACTTTCGTCTGAACCTATTTATTATTTTTTCTAATATCTGTGTTTATTTATTTAATTGGAAATTTAAAAAAAAAATAGTAATATTAAAATGCGTACGTAGAATTTTTACAGCAAGAAATTCATTTTCCCTTACAATATATTAAAGCTCTTACCTGAAGTACTGATTCTCCTCTTCGCTAGGATCAGTTGCGGCAGCCGTAGCACGAATCAAGTTGGTCAATCGCAGGGTCAGTTGTGTCGTATCCAAATCTTCACGCTGCTCACTACCAACTATTATACCTTTCGACACTGTGGACAAAAATATCTTAACTTAAACAAGAGCAGTTATGAAGTTCCAAAATCCCCTGACGAAGCGTGAGACAAATCCGTGGATTCATTAATACATATTTCGCCAGGATCGAACCTTTCGGTTACCCTCCTTTGAGTAACAAAATAACGCGCCGGAGGTATTAGTATATTTAGCCCATTCAAGTAGATTTGTATTCCGGAAACAGATTCATGCTTATGAATCAAATCTAACGATCAGATAAAACCAGAAAAATTATAAACCAGGGCCGCAAGATTTCACTTTTATCTGTGACACAAAAAGTTTAACTTTACCATTATTAATACACATTGATTCATTGCTTTCTATTTGAAGTCCGTATTATTTCACTTTAATGCCGAATTCTCTATGCCGATTCTAAGTTGGCTAATCTCTGTTAAGACTGGCTATTTACTGGAGTAAAGTAAATAAATGCGTATACTGAGAAAAGTGTGGATTCTATTTTATAATATCCGATGGGTAGCATGTCCCACATATCGCAAGAGCAGGCAACTTTAAGTTCTTATGTTCAATTCCGCTAATTTCCCAATTTTTGTTAGAACATAACGTCGTGTATTTATACATTACCCTATCCAAGACCGATGCTATGTATAACATATACCATTAGACATTTAAATCTCGCTTGAGTGCCATTAACATATATGGTAAATACATTTTTAGATCACGGCTTTTTACATCAATCTACATCTAAGGCTTTTAATTACGTAATGGAATTTGCAAATGTTATGTAATATGAGACCTCAATAATGATACAATAAATCTAAAAACAAATATATAGATATGAAATTTATAGTTTTTTGTTATATGTAAAATCCGCCTTCATAGAATAATGGTTTACGACGGATATTTTTTTTTGATATACCTAAAACATTTATTGATTTATGGTAAGAACGAAAGTTTATGGACCTTAAAAAAGAAAATGGAGAAAGAGTATGTTTCAAAAACTTGTAAATTTCAGAATTAATTACTTTGTTATAAGAGAAAGGAAAAAAAACTTTAAACACTTCTAAAACAAAAGCTCTTTGATTAGAGTTCAAATGCCTAATGAAGCATCAAAGAGAAGTATTTCTCCTTGGCTGACATCTATAAAGTTAATTACAGTGATAGCGGACTTTTTGTTATTAGATTCTTCTCAATTATAGAGGACCTCAAATCTCTTGATAAAAACTGTACAATGGAGCTCATGCGGGGCAATTAATTAAAAGCTATGTTACTGCACTTTCTACTATTTTCGCTTTTGAAGATTAATAGTACTGTATTTAAAGTAATTAGTCGATATGTAAACGAAAAGAGAATGTAGACATGTAATCTTATTGGCGATTAACAAATATTTTAATTCAATTATAGCAAATAATGGAATGGTCTATAAGGAAAGAGGAGGAAGGGCAGACCAGGCGATGGGCCGACGAGATCAAAGGGTAGCTGGTAAAAATTGGTTGACGATGACACAAAATAAAATAGGGTGGAAAAAGTTGGTCTCCTACCTTCTCCCGGAAAGGGGACCGCATCTTAGTGTAGTGAACATTTTATTTAAATCTATTTTTGTTAAATGTATGTCGAAAAGATATAGATGAATACAGGCTTATTATAATTATAGCAAAGAAGGCAAATAGACGAGCGTATAACTATTGGAGTTCCTAAAAAATTAAGTTGAGAAAAATTATCACGTGCCTGACCCATGTTACATGACTTTGCACATACGCGAGGACAGTGATCTATATTTCAAATTTTCATTGAAACTTGGGACCCTATCACAATAAATTGCGCTTCGCTAGGAGTGTTCACTGTATATGAGGAATATGCTAACACGCGCTTCAAAAACACTCACAGCTACTTAACATCAACGTATTTCCAATTACTGAACCACGCTCCACTAATCTTGAAATATGATTGTCACCACGCTGACGTCATCCGAATTCCAGACCCACAAAAACTAAAACCACTTTATTGAGAGCCATTGTTCTTTTTTGTATATGAATAAGCAACTTCTAGCTTTGCAACTCTTTTGTTTGAAGATAAGTGTACCTGGAGGCGGCCGATAATTACGGGAGAGGCTTTTAGCCTAACTAGACACGTTATCTTTAAATCTCGACAGCCTTGTATCAAAGATTCGTCTGGCATAAGCTTATAAAAACGGTAATGAAAATAACTCATGATAATTTATAAACTTTAATTTTGAAAACATAATTATTAATGATCAAGTGTATATGTCAACTAATCCTCTAATTAACGTCTCTTGATTTTAAAATTCGAATCAACGAAATCGTTGTTCTGATGTCGTGCTGTTAGATCAATAATTATTACGTAGGATGACATAGAGAAATTTCTGTGATCCGTGCTAGAGGCGGCTAATAACGACCGTTGGCCGCCCACGGCTCGACACGACACCATTATAATCTATCACAAAAGAAATAAAAAATATCCCCACTGCGTCACGTGCCTTTCTACTCGTTTCTCCGGTACCAAGGTAAAATGTGGACGAGCTTCCGTAGAGCCTTCAGGGCCTTGTATAACCGTTGAAGCAGAAATAATACCTTTATATGATACGTAGATGATATTATGGTACGCAAATTGAAAATAATGATGGGTTTACGCCTATGACTCTTGTACGCAAAATAAGCGCGGACATTTAACAGTACAAAGATCTTTTTGACTATCACAATATGAAGTGAAATTCTTTTAAAAGTTGATAAAAGGCGGTAGGAATTTTGATTATGGCGACAAATTGCTGACTGCGGGGCAAAAGGCTTATTACAAGGTTATTACATTGTGGAACCGCTACTGGTTTGTCATTACAGGGTGACTTTTATTTTTAAGGGCGTAACTGAGAAACTAAATCCGTTATAACACCGCAGGAATGGTGAAATGAACACAATTTGTAGTAAATGCATAATTTTCTGAACTTTACACTTGATTGGTTTGCACGTTATAATATAGGTTGTATTTTTTTATAAAAGTAAACTTACCGAGATCACTAGTGCAGAATGCGAGCTCCAATTCTGACTCCGAGCAAGGTCTGCATTCAGCCGTTGCAGGGTCATAATGTCTTCTCACTAACGACCTGGCTTCATACTTGAACATGGCCACTCTCCTCTTAGTACCCTCTTCAGGTTCTGCTTCTACGTACAAAGCAGCGCGACCTCGCCTGCTTCGGAAGCATCGAAGTTCGCGAGGGTCGCCGTCATCAGGTGCGTAAAGAGGTATAAGCCGCTTCGCACCTTCTACGAAAATGCGGGCCGGAAACCGCTCTGCAACATCTGAAAATGATTGTTAAAATCAGTTTGTGGCACCATCGAAGCTTGAAAGATTTGTTTCTAAATCTACTCCGATTATACTTCAAACAAAAACAATGTACTGGGTTAAGCCAAAAAAATACATACAATAAAAATGACTCTAAATTATGAGAACACTTCGGGCCATTGTTCAACGCGAATTCGCCATTAACGAAGATTAATTGTGATATTTACCGGTATCATTAAACTGCAATGAATGAAATAAGTCGGGAGGATCCGGTCGCCTGATGACTCTGATGCAGACCCTGAAGTCCTTTTCATCAGCTGGTAGAGGAGGGCGGAAGAGTAACCGCAGAGCTCCTCGAGGGTAAAGCCAAGATACTGTGCCTTCTCGACACCTCAGGTAGACAGGAGTCACGCCCCTCTCAGCAGTAACACTCAATCCGCTGGAACAAGGGAGAATAAATTATTAATATATTTAGTATTAATATACTTAGTATTAATATACTTAGTATTAATATACTTAGTATTAATATACTTAGTATTAATATACTAAGTATTAATGTATTTAGCATTAATACAATTAACATTATAAAACTGACGTTCCGTGTGCTTTCAAACCCACCTAGTAGGTAATGGGTTAATAAGTTCTTGTTTGTCAAGTCTCATGCACAACAAAGCATCTAATGACCGTGGATATTACCTACATAATCTCGAAATACAATCCTTCTTCGAAAGTCATACAAAAACTAAAAACACATTATCGTTAAACAACAAACATGATCCCGACATAGCGAAGTTTTTGTCTCATAATAAATGATTCGATGAATAATTAATCATATAACTGACAACATTCATTTATCACAATACCTAAATCGAATTTAAAATCACGACCTAGTCAAGTTTAATTAATGTAATACAATGTAATGAACGGCTATTTCATATAAAATTACATTATCTAGATGGAAAGTGTGCGGTCGAGATTGCGGCACGCGATCGAAGTGTCATTTCTGGTCACTATCTCGAGAAATGCCCCCATAAACAAGCCTGGAGCCAATTGTGAGCGTATCTTGCATCTGCGGCACGTGGGCTGAATTTCTGGAGTAGCACCTACGCGCAACCCACGGCTTTAAATTATAAAACCAAGATATATGGTTATACATACGATTTATACCGCGACAGTAATAAAAAGAGGACTTATGTAAAACTCATTGTTGTGGCCGAGTTCGAACATTATTAGCGGGTTATGTTCCCTTGTCCGCTACGAAACGATTTATTTTGTATTGTCAGAGTTTTATTGCGTCCAAAACTAAAGTGGCTCTAAATCTTTTTAAAACTCCGAGATGGATTTATTCAATGTTAAAGCTAGTAAAGATGAGTAATGTTATCTTCAGGGAACGTTCCCAAGAACCTGACGAATTATTAAACAAATGACGATCACACTTATGAAAACTCTCAAGTTATTCAATATAGATTTATTTAGAACATTATTACATGTTTGAAAAACATTTATAAGTACCATTAGTACATATTACTTTGCTTTTAGTTATCGTAGTTGAAAACGAAGCTTTTAGTCAAATCCTTTAATATGTAGAGTTATTTATAAAACGTCACATCCTTAAACCTCGATGTCATCGCGGGGCTTCCTTAATCCACCCTAATGGGCCGTATGGCTAATACAAAAACCGGTTGGAGATCGTCTCAGTGAGGCCCTGGTTCCGTATTATCTTGCACGAGATAAGATAAAAGCATGGATGATTCGTCACAGATTTTATGAACGTAAAAAATACTTTTGTGTATGTACAAATTTAACTAAAGCAGAACTTATGAGCGCGCAAAGTGTAAAACGTAAGTATTATATTATAAAATGGAAATAATTAATCTTAGTTCAAAATAACATAGAGCGATACAATTCAAACAATATAGGTAGGTATAATATGTAGTTCTAAATACGCCAACGGAGCCCATACACAAATGTAATTTATTTTATAATTTCTAGTACCATAACTGTCATTTCAATTTCTCCTAACATAAATCTACCTCACCCTCGAGTTATAAGATATTGCACGTAAAAATAATATTCTGGTTGAAAAGAATAGTCAAGTGGTTTTGTGTGGGCAGGTTGGTGCACACGTGTAGGATTGACAGGGGTGAACAACCCCTTAGATTGAAAAATGAAGAACGTTATTTAAATACCTCATCAATTGAGAGTTTATGGCTGATTGACTATTATAACGAATATTTATGTTTTAGATTGACGTCGCCATTTTTAAAACATACAAATCCTATCTTGACTTGAGTCATTTGTCAGCGGATTCCTGGTAGCACTTTAATACATTAAATTCTCACCTAAAAATAATTTAATTACATTCTCATTGTCCCAGATAGTAGATACGCAATTTTATTAACGAATTGGAACCGCGTGCCTTAAAAGAAATGAAAACTTTGAAAGTAATGAATTTGCTTAAATGAATCGTGATTACGTACGCCCATTGATGTCCGAATTACCTAACATTATTCGCATTCTTAAATTTTCGTAAGCAACTGTTTCTCGTAAAAGTTTTTTGGGTTGGCCGTGCCTGTTTGTCGCGCCTAAACGTTATCGGCGCGCGCTAAAACAAATATACAAAAAACAAATGTTAAAACCACAGTTTCTCTACGCTTTTAATATAAAAAATATCAAGGGTGGCGTGGCTTGTTGCACGTTTGGAACGCGTTGTCCCACAAATGAATGTTATGAGATTAGTAATCATTGTGTTTTATAATTATACGTATTTATTTTGTTTAGAAGTGAAGTGTTATGGATTCTCATATAAGGAATTTCTAGTAAACGTTTTTACGTTGTAATTAAAATAAAAGTATTTGAGGTTAAATATCTTTTATTGGTATTTAAGACAAAAAACTTAACGTGGAATTTTTTTTTTATAGAACGGGGGGCAAACGGGCAGGAGGCTCACCTGATGTTAAGTGATACCGCCTGGACACTCTCAATGCCAGAGGTCTCGCGAGTATAATATGATAATCATATATATCATATATATGATTATCATCGGGGGCTTTTTAAGATTCCTAAAAGACGACAACATATCCGAGTGAACTATAAAGCTTGGTAAAACTAGGTTTAATATCTCATCTATTATCTCCAATAAAAAAGCAAACCTGTTTACAATATATTTTTTATGATGAATAAAATGTGAAAAGACAAAATCTATTCTCAATGTTAAAACCAGTATCGAGGTCATTGAACAACAATAGCCTGGCAACGAACATTTCCAATTTATAAACATTAGTCGAGAAAAAATAAATGATTTGTGGCCATTACGCACAAATGGTGGCGCCCCGATATTCGACTAAAAGGTACTAATGCTGTCTTAATGTATCTCGGAGTGTTGGTCAATAAAACCGTAAAAATAACGATGATTTTTTAAGATTTATAGTTGATGTTTTAGAAAACACTTTCTAATTAGAAGTGAACCTTATTGGCGTTTTAAAACGTTATTTTTCTGCTAAGCTGTTAGATAGATACTCCTGTCAAATATTCGTATGTACATCAATAGGACATTCGGATAGAAGCTCAAAAACTTATACGGTTTTTAAATCATAAGTATTCTATTCGAAGTTTTATGTACAAAATCTATTGGAACTTTTCTTTTACTTGTACGAGCTGTTTGTTAGTGAAAACTACTTTAGTTTTTTTTTAATGAACTATTTTTATTATTTAAAAATAACCTTACAGTAAAATTCAATTTAATTTCGTCGCACGAGTGCCTTATACGACTGTTAAAGATAAGCTTCTTAGAATTGTCATGTGTGTGATAATTAACAACTTTACCACATTTTAGCTTAAAGGTAACAAAAACTTTTAACGCTTCATTGTATAGGTGTTTTAGAGTTTTATAGCTTTATAAGCAATTAGTTTTAATAGCTTATTAAAATTAAAAATGTGGATTGAAGACTTTATTGAGACTCGTCCGCCAGATTTCCTATAGAAAATAGTAATTTAAATTTCTTTTATCTATTTTTTTAATTAAGTATTAACTCGGAAAATATTTAATTTATGTACATTACAATAGTCATATGAGTTACAATTTATAATCTCAGGTTTGTATTTTAACTATAAGCCGTAGGTATGCTAAAAATGTCTAGTCTTAATACCTAATATAATCGGTTATTTTAGTCAAAAACCCATTATGTAAATGGAGGTCATGTCTAACTTAATAACAATAAATATCCTTTTGTATTTTTGTTATTTGCATAAAGAATCAATTCGTGTTGCGTCCGTTTATAAATTTAAGACAATTTAGTTTAAATGTCAAAATGTAACGGTCTTTTTCGGATGATTCTAGATTCTGAGATCAGACACATAATAAAACTACATTATTTTAATCACGTAACAAAAAATCAGTCTGTCAAAAACAATTAAACCACAAATACGTCACAGAGTAAACGCATTTTGACAGAAAGAGTCAAAGACAAGACAAGTATTACAATTAATTTATGACAAAAATCGCGGGCTTTTAAAATTCAAAAGTTAATTAGAATTTCAACTATTTTACACAACGTACGTACGTAATTAAGTATATGAAGCAAAATATATTATTACTTTTTTACCATCATCGTGTAATTGGCAGGTATTTATATCATACGATGTTTGCTATAAAATTGTATGAATAATAAGTTGAATTGTCCACTTTACAAGGTTATTTCAATAAAAATCCAGTAAATCCATTGTTTTCGTCATTATATGAAATTCAAGATGCTATCACTGTTTATGGCGTAGTTTAGAAAGTTCGTTAAAACACATAGCCTTATCATACGTAACAAGACAATAAAATAAATCTGTATCTTTTCTACGAAGACTTTTATTTATTCTTGTCCAAAAACTCGCGAGATAACAATGACGAGTGCATTCAACCTTATATCACAGTTAGGGTTGTGTTAAATATATCATAGTTCATACACGGACAAAATCCGTTATTAAATTTTCATTTATGCATCTAATTCCTGAAACCCGAAAGTTAAATTTAATTATTGTCTTTAATTCGATTTATTTATTATCTTTAATTGTAACTTTGTTAGGTTACAATCTATGCCTATGCCTGCTATAACACGAAACGCGTGGCCTAATCAATAATTAAAATAATTAATGTTTTTCATTTTTCAAATGGTCAGCCCTGGTTTGAAGTGACACAAGCATTGTTGCAACCCACGTCTATGCTGGACCAGAAGCAATAAACATAATGTACGCCTATACAAAATCAGCTTACAAACCAAGACATTGAGAATAAAAATACTCGATACCACGGTGGTCGCTTTTTATATGCTAATTTGATAAATAAATTCAGTTGCCACACAAGTTCTATTTCAATACTGTATAGTTCACCTAGGACCGGACTGAGTGGGTTACGTACGGCTCCAAGATAAAATGTATAAGCTATGTACAGGATAAAATCTGTCGCAATAATACCAGTTTCAACACCGAAGGATTTATTCTCTATCAAGCAAACCTACACTTATTTTTGTGAGCTGTATGCCCCTGAGTCTTGAGAGATGCAACCAAAAAATAAGCAGACAATAAATGCGATTACAACAAAATAAAGAGTAATATAACTAGTGACATTTGCTTTTTTAGTTGGGTAAAACTTGATTCAGCGATAATATTATAAAGA